TCGAAACGTCGAAATTCGATGAAAACTCGATTTTCGTAAAATGGGGTGAAAACAATAACTTACCGATTTTTGAAAATCTTCGATTTTCTCAGCAGGAAGTTAAAAAACAGTAAGAGTAGTGAGAAAATTTTCAATCAGTCACACACACACACACACACACACACACGCAGTGGGTTCCTTTTTCGTTTTCTGTTTTCTTCTGGTGTTTCTCTTGTTAGCATCCAGCAAAAATCTGACATGTTTACATTCTAATTTACTCGATACCTACTTTTCATTTCATTCAAGTCTTATTAAAATCGTTTTCTTTGTTCTATGGTGTGGTCCTCAAGATTTTCAGGAAAGTGGTCAACGTGAGAATCCATGAAGTGTAGTTTGAGGTTTATTAAGCAACCTAAAAAAAGAAACCCACTGCGTAGGTCACTTGAAGATAAAAAAATTAGGAAAACGGTTGACCCTGAAGGCCATCCCTGCAACTTCCCGCTACTTTCGTAATTAAGCACTCAACATTGCACTTATTATGTTTTTGAGCTCTTCGAGCTCAAAAATATGATTTTTGTGTAGTTTTGAGCTCTCCGAGACTATAAAAGTCTGATGATCGACGTTTAATAAAACACTATTTTTTGAATTTTCAAAGCGCAATAACCTTTAAATGAATGAACCGATTTTCACGCGGTTATCGGCATTTGACGTAGTTTTTCAAATTTTTGATATATTTTCAAACACGAATTGATCAGATCGGAAATTTCAGTGTAATTTGAAAGAAAAACCCTTTTTTTCGATTTCTTTCGTCAACGATAACTCACGAACGAATCAAACGATTTTGACCGGCTTGGTAGCGATCGACGTAGTTTTTCAATGTTAAGAGCTTACTAGTTTTTTGAATTGATCGATCAGCCGTTTGAAAGTTATTAAAAAAAAACCACATTTGAAAAAAAATTTTTTCGCAGTTTTTTTAAGATTTCTCAAAATCTATCAGTCCGAATTGGTCCAACTTGTATTCAAAATCTAAGTTTAGTCGAACCTTTTCGAATGACACTAACCGCGACCAAATCGGTCAAGCCGTTCAAAAGTTCTGAGAGGTTTACATACATACATACATACATACATACATACATACATACATACATACATACAGACACCATCGCAGGAATAGTCAGGGAAGATTGCTAGGACCTTACAACGTCGAGATCTGATGAAAAATCGATTTTCGAATAACGGGGTAAAAACTATAATTTCCCGATTTTTGAAAATTTTCAATTTTCTTTACGAGAAGTTAAAAATTCGATACAAACGAACGACAGTACGAAATTCGAAAATATGGCTTCGTACCTTCTCCTTACTTGCTGTTAGCCCACAGAAATTAGTCAGTTTTACCCAGTTTGGCTGTGCCAACTGGAAGTTGATCGAAAAATTTAAATTTCTTGAAATTTCAAATCCAAGTAGGTTAATATGAAATTCTAACAAGTATCTAATGGCGGTCTCAATTTGTTAATAAATAATAGGCAAACAAAAAAAACGTAAATTAAAAATTAAATATCTCTGAAACTATTAATCTGGCAGGTTAAGTTTTCACATAGAATTTGTAGAGCATAAAAAAATCTACAACTTTGTTTTCGGGTAAATTTCTGTCAGACTTATAGTTTATTAGTTATTAACAATCGAAGTTTCATAAACAAATTGAGCTAGCAAGCTGAAAAATCAACTGATTTCATTTTTGATTTTTTCCACATATTTCTGGTAATAAAAGGAACATTTTTAATATTTTTCAAAATATTTATCTCAAAAATTTGATTTTTAAAAATCAAAAAACCGCTTTTTTTTTGGAAGCCAATATCTCCAAAACTAAATTTACTACAGCACTCGCACCTACTTTAAAAAATCTAGAATTTAATTGCGAAAAACTTGGCTATTTTGAAAAAAATTAATTTTTGATTGGGGTCAAATAATAGCGAGTTGAACGCGAGCGGATTTTCGATAAAGCGGCTCCCCAAGCACGGTACAATTGTTCTTACCTTATTATTCATTCATTTATAAATATTATCAATTTTTATAATAATAAAATTAATAATAATTAAATAAAAAAAATATTGTACAAGAAATTATTGCTGAGAATTTTTGTAGCGAAAGATTTTTGCATGAGAAAAAAGAGATGGTCACCGCTAAAAAAGTGTCTCTACCTGTCAATGAATAAAAAAAAAATTTATTCACTTTGTCTAATTTTTTAGAAAATAATTATTATATATTTATTTAACAAATAAATTTTTTCTGAAAAATTATTTTTACAAAATTGCATTTATGATTTTTTAAAATTTCTACATATCCAATTTTGTTTTCATTTTTTTACCATAATTTATTTGTTAAAAAAATTCTAGAAATTATTAAATATCTGCTAAATTAATTTTCGTTTATATTTATTAGTGATAAATAATATAGAATCATGTTTTTATTTAAATTACACTGAAAAAAAAGTTTTCTGCTCCGCATGATACGAGATCGCTACTATCACGATCTACACTTTACCATCTAGAGGAGAGTGAGGTTAGAAAAACGGTATACTACGGTAGCTATACGTTTCGTGAATGGCACCGAATAGATCGTGACGGTTACGATTCAGACTGCTACTCGTAGCTGTACGGATTGTACCCGTAACGATACACCTTTTACCAATCAAAATCGAAGTATTGATTTTGACAGACAGTTCAACCGGATTTAGAACACGGTATAGTTTCTTGCACTTATATTAAGCTGCATATTGAGATAGATGCATACTTTGCGCGAGACAAGCCGTGTCTCTTGATTACTTAATCAATTTGTATCACTGAAAAAAAAGTTTTCTGCTCCGCACGATACGAGATCGCTACTATCACGATCTACACTTTACCATCTAGAGGAGAGTGAGGTTAGAAAAACGGTATACTACGGTAGCTATACGTTTCGTGAATGGCACCGAATAGATCGTGACGGTTACGATTCAGACTGCTACTCGTAGCTGTACGGATTGTACCCGTAACGATACACCTTTTACCATACAGTAGATGGCGCCAAGCAGAAAACTTTTTTTTCAGTGTATAATTTATTAGGATAATTATCAAAATTTTTTATTGACCTTTTTTATGTCATTTAATTTAATTTTTTTATTCAATCAAAGTTAAATAAATAATTTCAAATTCATCAATTAATAAATATAATTTCTGAAATTATTATTTTTAATATTATTATGTATTGAAATCATTATTTATAAATATTGTAATTCAGTTAATAAATATTGGTACGTGTGTGTGGTTATTAGACGGCGCCGTTGAAAAATGTAGTTAGCGATTCTAGCTAACTAAAATATTCCTACCAGAGCCATACAGTATTGCTGCTGTAGGAAAACGTTTTGCTGTCGTAGCGCTCTATGAGTAGCTCTCTAGTAGATAGCTCCAGTATAGCAATATTTTTTTTTCCGTGCATGTGCTTACCCTATCTCTCTTGCTCTCACGTAAAGGATGCGTGAAAAAATCATTCAATCCTGACGATCCTACTTAGGATAATGGAATAATCTCATCAAATTAGTGTATTGTGATCGGTCCTCGATAAGTCTACAAAGTTCAAATGAAATCCGACCGTTTGATGTGGGTTAAAATCAAGTCCAAATGAGTCGGTTACATACATACAAACATACAAGTGAAGCTAATATAAAGCGTGTAAAATAAAAATAAAAAATTAGGAAAACGGTTGACCTTAAGGGTATCCCTGCAACTTCGCGCTACTTTACAATTAAGCGCTCAAAATGGCACTTATTACGTTTTTGAGCTCTTCAAGCTCAGAAATATAATTTTCGTGTAATTTTGAGCTCTCCGAGCTCAAAAGTTTGATAGTAATTTAATAGAACACTATTTTCTGAATTTTCAAACCGCAATAACTTTTGAATGAATGAACTGATTTTTACGCGGTTGGCGACATTCGACGCAGTTTTTCAAATTCTTTTGAACACAAATTGATCAGAGCAAAAATTTCGGTGTAATTCGAAAAAAGCACTTTTTTCGATTTTTTTCATCAACGATAACTCACGACTGAATCAACCGATCACACATACAGACAGACATACATACAGACACCATCGCAGGGATAGTCAGGGAAGCTTCCTGAGATCTTAAAACGTCGAGATCTGATGAAAACTCGATTTTTTGCGAAACGGAGTAAAAACAATAACTTCCCGATTTTTGAAAATTTCCAATTTTCTTAGCGGGAAGTTAAAAAAAAAAGAAACCAAAAGCATAAACTAAAACTTTAAAAAGAACTACCTTAAATCAATTAACTCAATCGTTATTCTGACGAAACGTCATATAGGAATCTTTGGATAGTCATTTTGAGAATATTTTGCTCTCCGTTGATGTAAATCAGAATAGCTTACTGATAAACGATTTTTAAAATGAAAAATATAATTTGATAATAATCATGATATGCCACGCGCCGTCAATCTTTTTTTTTCTCTGAATGGTCCTGCAGTAAGATTGAACTTTAAATCAAGTTACCAAAATCGTTTGTATCGAGATACCGTATATGGACAAATGACCACTGAGACTGGCTGGTGTACACTTATGCCAAATATTTGGGTCAACGATAATAACGAAGGATCACTCGAGTGTTATAAAAGATAATGCTAAATTTTACAAATGAAATTTGTTTTTATTTTTTTGCAATAATTTTTTAAATAAAAAAATTTGTAAAAATTTTTAGACTTTGACTAACTTAATTTTAATACAAAAGTAAAATTTTGATGATAATTTTTCACAGAAAATTATTTTACTTCTAAAAAATAATAAGCGCAATGTGCTGTAATACAAGTTAATTATTTAAACTACAAAAAAAAAAACGTCAACGCACCCACTAGATGTCGCATAATGTAGGTGTCAGTTGTAAAAAAACTAAACTGAATAAACGTAACCTATAATATTTAGTTAATATTGACAACCACCTGCTAATAAATTCTTTTGTAATAAAAAATAATTAAAGTCATGGACAATCTTAGAGAACAAATAAAAGAATTGAAAATCTTCCGTGAAATGAGCTACGAAGAAGTTCGTGACTCAATAATGTCAAACGAGTTAAATGTCAACTCGGTGGTAAAAATTTATGACAGTGATCGAATGAAAATTCCTATTAGTTCAGAATTCTTACCACGATCCGGACCCAAAAATAATTTTTTCGAATATACTATTCTTCACTTGGCTCTTTATGTAGATGACGTTGAATTCATAGACTTCCTCCTGGAGAACAATGCCGACATGAAGCTGGAGACGGAAGATTTGGCACCGGTTATTTTATCGGCGATACGTTTGAACCGCTTGAAGGACGTTAAAAAAATAGTGTCAGCTGGTGCTGATGTCAATCAGAGTATCTGTGTGAAAAACACAGATGAGAAATATAGTGATAGGCTTATTAATACTGATGGAGGTAATAACAACGCTCATATTTTTTATGAAGTGTATTCACCTCTGGAATTTGCTATCAATTTAAATGCATATGAGATCGCTGAATTTCTTATCAGCCAGGGCGCTAATGTTCACGGAAGAGATTACGATGAAGAGTTTGAGGACTCGCCAATGAGTATTGCTGCTTCGTCGAATAACGTAGAAATGATTAAATTGCTGATGAAACATGGCGTTGATATTAATGCTAGAGACATCAATGGTTTGACTCCTCTAATGAAAGCAGCTCTTGAGGACGTTAGCTCAGCAAGTCTTAGGTTTTTGCTGAGTCAACCTTTTATAAAAATAAATTCTCTGACAAATGACCAGAGCTCTTGTCTTCATTTTCCAGAGCCTTGGTACATGGAGGAGGACATAGTTGATCCTGAGTCTAATCTTCAAGATCTTCTGGATGCAGGTTGTGATATCAATATTGTGAGCAATCATGGAGAATTACCGATTGATACCTATGAAGACAAAGAAAAGTGCCTTGAGGTTATGAAGAAGCATATTGTTAAGCTGATGGCGGCTGGCTTTTACGTCTGCGCTAGGAATAAAGAAGCTGTTTCAGAAAGTGAATTAAGAAATTTCAGAGTTGAATGTGATACAGAAGTTGAAGTTATGAAGAATACTTATGGAATAATGGTTGGATTTTCCTTGTTTGATATTCTGCATAGATCTTATCACAAACTGGCGCTGAGGATAAAGGATGGAGATGAAGATAAGTTTGACTACAAAATGGCGGCCCAGTTTCCTCTGTATGCAGGAATGATTAAATATCGCTTGGAAAAAGCTGGTCAGCGAAGAAAATTGTTTAAACAAGTTGAAAATATTCTCTATAAAGTTTTCTCTAGATATCTTCCTGCTACTTTTATTCATGAAATGTTTTTTTATTTTAGTAACTTTGAATTAAGTAAATTGGTGGAAAATAAGTAAGCGGAATATAAGTTTTTTTATTGGTCATTTAATTTTATTTATCATTGGTTTTTTCTTCGGTAAATTTATAAATTTTTAGTTGAGCTTTCAATATTTGTATGCTTGTGATAAGTTTGTATTTTTATTAATTAAATGTGGTACTTTTCAATAATAAAAAATAAATTATAGAGATGAATTGTTTTTATAATTATTTATTAAGGTAAGAGCTCCAATTATTGACGGGGTCTAAATATTGACACCCTAAATTATTTTTAAATATATTAAATTATCTGTAATAAGAATAACGATCAAATAAATTTTTATTCAATAATTGGGGCTTTTACCTTACTGTATTAACATTAAATTTTTATAATCCTTAATTTAATTGTTTAATCAAATAATATGCGTGAAAAGAATAAAGCAAAAAATTTATACTACAACAATATTAATGAAAAATATTTGAATATTTGCTAATTTAGGTCATTTTTCATGTCTGATTATTTTTTCCCGGGCAATCACATAAAAAAATTAACAAAATACATTTAGAGGTATATTAACTTCCGAAAAATATAAAAAAAAAATTAGGAATACGGTTGAAGACCATCCCTGCAACTTCCCGCCAATTCTATACCTAAACGCTTGAAATTGCACTTATGACGTTTTAGAGCTCTTCGAGCTCTTAAATACAATTTGTGTATTATTTTGAGCTCTGCAAGCTCAAAAAAATAGCTTTTGTATGCTTTTAAGCTCTTCGAGCTCGAAAGTTTAATAGGAGTTTGATAAAACACTATTTTTTTTATTTTCAAATCGCAATAACTTTTGAATGAATGAACCGATTTTCACGCGGTTGGCGGCATTCGACGCAGTTTTTTAAGCTTCGTAAAAAATCTTTGAGTTTATATCGACAGAGTGGAAAAATTCGGAGTAATTCCGAAAAAACGCTTTTTTCGGTTTTCTTTCGTCAACGATAACTCACGAACGAATTAACCGATTTTGACTGGACTGGTGGCGATCGACGTGGTTTTTTGACGTTAAGAGCTGATTAGTTTTTGAAATTGATCGGTAAAGCCGTTTAAAAGTTATCTCAAAAAAACCACTTTTGAAAAAATTTTTTTTTTGTAGTTTTTTTACGATTTCTCAAAATCTATCGGTCCGAATCAGTTCAAATTTTCAGGAAATCTAAGTTTGGGCAAGCCCTTTCGAATGGCACCAACCGCGATCAAATCGGTCAAGCTACTGTTCAAAAGTTATAAGAGGGTCATATACATCCACACCCACCCACCCACACACACACACACACACACCACCGCGGGGGTAGTCAGGGAAGCTTCCTATGACCTTAAAACGTCGAGATCTGATCGATTTTTGCAAAACGGGGTGAAAACAATAACTTCCTGATTTTTGAAAATCTGAGATTTTTAGCGGGAAGTTAAAAATAATTTCTCCAAAAGTTACAAACCAGAATGATCCCTTAAATGTCATAAAAAATAACGTTAAATTTTACAAATGAAATTTGTTTTTATTCTTTTTTGCAAATTTTTTTAATAAAAAAATTTATAAAAATTTTTCGACGACGGCTAACTTAATTTTCATTACAAAAAATACATTTTGATTATAATCTGTCACAGACAATTTTTGTACTACTAATAGACAATAAGCATAACCTGATAATATACAAGTTATTAATTATTTAAACTAAACTACAAAAAAAAAAAAAAACGTTAACGCACCCACTAGATGTCACCCAATGTAGGTGATAGTTGTGAAAATATAAACCAAAAAATGACCGATAATATTTTTAGTTAATTTTAACAACCAGCTGATAGTAAATTTGTGTTTTAAAAAATAATTAAAGTCATGGACAATCTTATAGAACAAATAAAAGACTTTATAATCTTCCGTGAATTAAACTACAAAGAAGTTCGTAACTTAATAATGTCAAAAGAGTTATATGTCAACATGGTAGTAAAAATTTATGATAGAGATCGAATTAAAATTCCGAGTTCAGAATTTTTACCGCTAAACAATCGCATAGAATATTTTTTCGAATATACTATTCTTCACTTGGCTATTTACGTAGATGACGATGAATTCGTAGACTTCCTCCTGAAAAACAATGCCGACACAAAGCTGGAAACAAAGAAATGTGCTTTGAGATTATGAAGAAACATATTGTTAAGCTGATGGCAGCGGGCTTCTACGTCTGCGATAGGAATAAAAAATTTGTCTCTGGAAGTGAATTAAGAAAATTCAGAGTTGAATGTGATACTGAAGTTGAAGTCATGAAGAATACTTACGGAATAATGGCTGGATTTTCCTTGTATGATATACTGCACAGATCATACCACAAACTAGCACTGAGGATCAAGGATGGAGATGAAGATAAGTTTGACGATAAAATGGCGGCCAAGTTTCCTCTTTACGCAGGAATGATTAAGTATCGCTTGGAAAAAGCTGGTCAGCGAAGAAAATTGTTTAATCAAGTTGAAAATATTCTCTATAAAGTTTTTTCTAAATATCTTCCTGCTACTTTCATTCGTGAAATGTTTTTTTATTTTAGTAACTTTGAATTGAGTAAATTGTCGGAAATTAAGTAAGCGGAAGATAAGTTTTATTATTGCTCATTTAATTTTATTTATCATTGATTTCTTTTCAGTAAATTTATAAATATTTAGTTGAACTTTCAATATTTGTATGCTTGTAATAATTTCGTATTTTTTTTAATTAAATGTGGTACTTTTTTAATAATAAAGAAATAAGTTACAGAAGAATTATTTTTTAAATTATTTATTTCTGTAATATTGAATTTTTATAATCATTAATTTAATTGTTTCATTGAAGAATATGTATAAAAATAATTAAGCAGAGAATTTACACTAGGTACAATAATGATAAAAAATATATATATTTTATAAAAATTTGAGATTTTGTGAAAAACTTTAGTAGTAATTTTAAATTGAAAAAAAAAAAAACCATTTTTGAATATTTGCTAATTATAATGATCATAATAATTACGCTTATAAAAATTCAATGAATTTTTGTAAAATATATATAATTTTATAAATCATCAATTCTTTTGTCTTGATAATAATTTTATCAAATTTTATGTAATTTATATCAAAATTAATACAAAGATTTTTTTTTTTTAATTTTATGAAATTTCTAGTGTCCACTGGTCTCTCATTACAGACGTGAGCATTAATGCTAGGGTTAAAAATAAATTTCATCCCTTTAATATACCAATACCAGCGAAGAACACTAATTACTATATTATCCACGATTTATGATTCAGTCCCGACAGACATCACAACTCTCTTGGTCAGTCCTACGCCTAAAATTGCCTTCATACTCGGCAACTTCCTGATCAAATGTGATCTCAACATTTGAATTTAAATTTGTACAAACTGGGACACCTACCGATGACCGCCGGGAACTACAGACACACAGCTGCTCCACCACCAAGTACTGCGGCCGAATGGGAAAGTGCCCAGAGCCTAAGGAATTATTAAGGAATACGACTATCAGCTGTGAAAAATCTAAACCGACGGATCATAACCTATAATATTTAGTTAATTTTAAAACAACCAGCTAATAATTAGTTTTTGTTATAATAAATAATAAAAAGTCATGGACAATCCTAGAGAAAAAATTAAAGACTTTATAATCTTTCGTGACTTGAGTTACGAAGAAGTTCGTAACTTAATAATGTCAAAAGAGTTATATGTCAACACGGTGGTAAAATTTATGAGATAGATCGAATCAAAATTCCTAGTTCAGAATTCTTGCCGCTAACCGATCCCGAAAAATATTTCTTCGAGTATACTATTCTTCACTTGGCTCTTTATGTAGACGACAGTGATTTCGTAGACTTCCTCCTGAAAAACAATGCCGACACAAAGCTGGAGACAGAACATTTGGCAGCGGTAATTTTATCGGCGATAAGTGTGAACAGCTTGAAGTACGTGAAGAAATTAGTGACAGCTGGTGTTGATGTCAATCAGATTATCTGTGTAAATTCAACCTATGAGAGAGAAAGTGATAGGTTTAATGATGAAGGCTATCCTCATATTGATTATAATGAATACACCTTTGGAATTTGTTGTCCAGCTGGATGCATATAAGATCGCTGAATTTCTCATCAGCCAGGGCGCTAATGTTCACAGAAGAATTGGCAATGACGGAGAAAATACCGACTCGCCAATAGGCTGAATTTAATTTAGATTATTAAAACAAATAAATTTTCTACTCAACTAAATACTTGTACATGAATAAAAAAAATTTTACCTTTTTGAATTCCATTTGTTTGGTTTTAGAAATGGTCTTCTTTTCGGACTCAGTTCAAATACCCGGTATTTAAAAAATTTCTTCTGAACTTGTTCATTTTTCGCCGCTTCCTCCTGACTTGGCTTGTAAATCACCTCTCTTCTTCTCATAACGCCTCAAGTCACCTCCGATCTTACTGGAGTACTGCTGGGATTCATATAGCCGCCTTCAGTCACCGATCTTACCGGAATCTTGCGCCGTATAATTTTAAGATTCAAATTAACATTTTTAATCGATTTAATGATAATCCGACTAGTTCTTGGTGGTTTGAAGCTTGGCAATTTGATTCTTGGTGATTTGATGCTTGGTGGTTTTTTAATGGTCTCCACCGGATCACCACAAAAAATAACAGTTGTCATAGAATCATCGTTTTCTTCAACTGTATCATTAATGGTCGCATTGCTGAATGTTGTACTTGGCGGAGTTATTTTAATGATAGTTCTAGCCTCTTCTCTGACAGGTGTACAATCTCCCTTGACTATCATTTTTTTACCGACAATCTCTTCGCTAGCATCAGGAATCACAAACATAGCATAATAACCAGCTGGAAAATTCTCCTGGAACTTAGCTTCAGAAATAAACTCTTTTACGCTTAAATAAACCAGGTGGTTTTTAATATTGTATTTTTTGCAGATACTCAATGCATAGTCAATGATACTCTGAGCATCAGCACCTCTATTTAACTTTGAGTACTTGATAAACTTTGCAAATTCCAACAAGAAAAGCACAAAATCCACATACCACTAGGAAATAATCTCAAAATTCTCCACCTGGGCATCAATTAGCTTCTTGATAATCTCTAAAGTTCCGTAAAAATGATCCACCGCTTGCTTTATATTATTCAGCGCCGCGTAAAGCTTACCACGTTTATGCGTGTAAGAAAATACAAGGTAGTTGTAAGCAAAGTTTTCACATTTAAAACACTTACAATTCTTATCGTGCTTCATATGGATCCATATGCTCCATATGGATCTTATATAAGATCAAGTGAAGAAAATGTTTTAGTTAACAACACTAGTGATGCGTCATTTTGTGGAATATCACGGACCACTTTAACTGGTTTCAGAGGAGAGTTGTCGCAAACGACATTGACATCGTTCTTTGATTTAGTATCTTTATCAAAGTTAGACGAGTCCAGCTTTAAAATACGCTCAAGTCTCTGGAGATTTACTTCGCAGTCCTTCAGTTGATTACACGACAAATTAAGAAAGCAGTGATTTTTCAGACACTTTGCTACGCGGAGATTGGATCCTAACTTATGGACTATTCTCAAACTATGTGTCAAGTACATAGATATCTTTTCGTAAGAGTCCAGACTGTTCATACTCTGTGATATATGGCTCATGAATTCGAGAGCAATGTCCAATTTGTAGAGCAGGTCTTCTCGAGAAAGGTTATGCGAAGACAAAAAATTACACAGGTCCACAGAAACAAAAAAGTGGTCGCTGGGTGTGCGACATATATTTTCCGACGTATTTTTTACCGCTGAACACGAATCTGAAGTCAAAATTAGGGGTCAAACTGCAAAAAATGGAGAAAAATAAACCATGCCTGATCAGGCCTGAAGACTCATGCCTGTTCATGTCTTATCAGGCCTGAAGACTCATGCCTGTTCATGCATGATCAGGTCTGAAAACTTATGACTGTTCATACATGATCAGGTCTGAAGGCTCATGTCCAAACGAATTGATTAAATTATTCTTCTCTTGGATCTGAAAAAATAGATGCTTCGTATTTTTACCTCTATATTAAAAGTTGTAAATACAAATATTAGAATATTTAAATGGAAATTAATGATTATAAAAATTAAAATCAAAATATTCCATAAAATTTAAGTTAACCTTTAGTTTATTTATTTAAGAACTGAAGATTTAGTAATAGTTATCCAATTACAAATATATTGATGATTGTTATTATTATTACTAATCTTTTTATTAAAAAATATTAAATATTATTTTTAACATTTGGTTAACCTTTGGTTCTTTTATTTAAAAGTTGAAAACTTTCAAATATTTATTTAATTACGCGTATATTAATGTTTATGTATTATTGTTAATATCACTCATTTATTATTAAAAGTTATTAAATATTAACTATTATATTCAGTTAACCTTAGGTTGTTTTTTTTTTAATCAAGTTAAGTATGTACTTAAGAGTAAATATATAAAAATAAAGAAGGTAATAATAAATATTGTTATTTAATCATAACTATTCTTGAGACAAAATTTTCTTATTGTGGTCACGTTTATATTCCGTTAATTTTTGACTCATTTCTTTAAATATTGTACTGCGATTTTGACTTGGCCACTTTTTTTCATTGGCTATACGCATTGAAAAGTCTGAAAAAAAAAATTCAATCAACTATAAAAATGTAATTAATAAAATTAATAAATAAAAAGAAACACTCAGCAACAATTGCATCTTTTGCACGCTGATCTAACGGCTTAACCAGTAATTTCTTACTAGTTCCTCATGGGGCCTGCCCTGTCAAAGTACAACCCATTCAGGCTTCGTGCTTAAACACACCTTCTAGTAATCTTCTCGCTAAATGTGTAGCCTTATGCAAAGCTCCCAACGCTGAAGTATAGATTACTTCTCTACATTAAATATCATTCCCAAGATGTTTCATCTATAAAATAAAATTATTTTTAATTTAATGGTTATAATTTATCATAAGTAAGCTTATGTTTTAATATTCATTTTAAAAGATCTTTGGTTATGAATTTAGAAGATATAAGTTAAAATTAATAAATAAAATAACAACGAATGAAGTATAAAAAAATTAGATTGTAAATTTACAATCTACCCTAGTAACAATGGAATTGAAGTTTCTTTATCCAGACTGGCGGCAGACTTGGGACAGTCTGTGCCCAGAATTTGACCAGATTCTTGGCCCAGAGTCCTAACATAAACTTGCGCGAGAAATGCAAAAAACGCCGAGAGCGCACCTATTTCCCTCCTTGAAATGGCTCGAAAGACCGAAGACAGCAAGGCATTCACCGATGTAGTAAAGGCAGCTACTGCAAACATCGGCACGGCGGTCAAGACGTTAACACCAACAACAACGATCGAGATCCTCGACTTGGATGAAATTTCTACCGAGAGCGAAGTCCGTGAAGCACTCAAACGTGAATTCACTGACAACCTGGAGGTCAAACGGGTAAATTTGACAAAACCCACACCACGAGGTAATCGGGCAGCCTTCTGCGAAGTAGACAAGCCCAGTGCGATTAAGGCCCTTGACAAGGCCCGTATAAGGATCGGTTTGGTGAACTGTCGTATACGCCCAGTTGTAAAAGTAACACGTTGTTTTAAATGTCTTGGTTTTGGATACCAAACACGTCAGTGTGCGGGACCAGACAGAAGCAGGTGCTGCTACAAATGTGGCAGAGAGAACCACAAGGCCGTAAACTGTACGGAGAAGCTAAAATGCTTCCTTTGTGCTTCGAACAAAGATGCCCAGGATGGTCTATGCCATATTTCTGGCACTGGAGCTTGCAAGGCATTCCGCACAGCACTTGCAGAAGCCACAAGAGGTTAGAAATGACACGCATACTACAAGGCAACCTGAATAGGTGCGCCTTGGCGCAAAACCTGCGCCAGCGTGTTTTTGAAGATAAAATTAACGTCTGCTTTATCTGCGAGCAATATCTAAACATCGAAGGTAAATCATGGTTCGCAGACGAAACGGGCACGGCAGCAATTTGGATTGTGAACACAAAGAACGTTACCGTCAACAACAGCGGAAGTGGAGCAGGTTTTGTCTGGATCCAAACCCCCACAACCTACTTCATGAGCGTCTATCTCTCACCTAACGAAGAGATTAGTGTGTTCCGACAGAAACTGTCAAATATAGAAGATGCGATCATTAAGTTCGACGGCGAAGTTATCGTAGCCGGAGACTTCAACGCTAAATCGGCTGAGTGGGGCGCTGATTTCTCCGACACTAGAGGAAACGAGGTCGCTGACGTCGCGGCTAGACTCGACCTCATAGTGCTGAACATCGGGAGCACCACGACCTTTAGAAGACCAGGGTACCAAGAATCCATCCTCGACATCTCATTAGCGACTCCAAGAACTGCCAACATGATTGAAGACTGGACAGTATCCGAAGAATACAGTGGCAGTGATCACCAGTTCGTGACATTCAACGTTGGATTAGCATCTGCTCCGGTTTCACAACGCGACGTTTCTAAGCGGAAGTGGAATGCTAAAAGGCTTGATCCAGAGGCATTGCAAGCTTCACTTGTACGAAGCTGGTCTATTTTTCAGAACAACTCGACTCCGGATACCTGCAGCGAGCCGGAAAAGGCAGTGCTAAATACGATAAAGGAAATTGCTGCCGCATGTGACGCCTCTATGCCGCGGCTGAAAAATCAGAGTTTCCACAGGCCGGCGTTCTGGTGGTCAACAGACATAGCAGAACTCCGGAAAAAATACCACAAACTACTTCGGCTAGCAACGAGAGCTGCGAAACGCTCCCCTAATCAAGATCTACTTTTGAGCGAGTATAAGCAGGCCAAAAAGAACCTCAACCGGGCAATCAAAGCAAGCAAAGCGAAATTGTGGCAAGAGATCTGTCACGACCTTGATAAAGACATCTGGGGTAAAGTCTACCAAATTGTCATCAAACGGCTTGGAAAGGCTTCACCAGAAGCGCTGAAATCACCTGCTTTAATGAGCAGCATCGTAGCGGAGCTGTTCCCCAAACACCAACCAAGGGAAAGAAGATATTGTGTGAAAAACAGTGTAACACTTTTCACAACCACGGAGTTACAGGATGCAGCGAAGACCCTACAACGGATGCTTGGCAATTGGCACGTTTACCACTGTCTGGAAGCGGCAGAGATTGGTTCTGCTAGATAAAGGAAAAGGTGGCCCTGTAACACCCTCGTCGTTCAGACCGCTTTGCATGCTGGACATTGCTGGGAAATTGCTCGAAAAGCTTATACAGGGAAGATTACGAAACGATATCGATCGTGCTGGAGGTTTTGCCGCAAACCAACATGGCTTCCGGAAAGGACGTTCAACAGTCGGCACGATCCAGAAAGTCGTAGGGACAGCGAGAGAAGCATGGACTGGTAGCCTTAAAGCTCGTAAAGTATGCATTCTCCTCACGCTAGATGTCAAAAACGCATTTAACAGCGCGAATTGGGGAGATATCCTAGACGCTCTGAAACACAAATTTGACGCAAAGCCAGAGAATTTGGCACTAATCGACAACTACCTTGAAGAAAGAAAGCTAATAGCGGAAACTACAGAAGGACCACAAGAATACGCCATAACGGCTGGCGTGCCGCAAGGCTCAATAATGGGGGCCGATTTATGGAACGCGGACTATGACGAGCTTCTTAAGATTCCGTTACCAAAGCAAGTGGAGCTAACGGGCTTTGCAGACGACGTCGCGGCCACAATAATAGTAGACAGCGTAGAAGAGGCCGAACTACTAGTTCGGGAAACCATTGATGCCGTCGAGACTTGGCTCGATAAACACCACCTGAAACTTGCCAAGCACAAAACCGAGATGGTCGTCTTGACTCGTCAAAAATGATTCCCAAAACCATTCGCTGTGGACATAGGAGGTACAACACTAACGTCAACAAGGGCCCTGCGCTATCTGGGGGTAATGATAGACGAGAAACTATCCTTTCGCGAACACCTCGATAATGCATGCCAGAAAGCTAGCAAGACGGTTTCTAGCCTAGCAAGAATTATGACCAACACCATGGGACCAAGAACAAAAAAGAGAAGAGTTCTTCTAGAAGCAGTCCACTCGATACTGCTTTATGGAGTGGAGATATGGGCAGACATATTAAAGCAGAAGACCTACCGGCGAAAGATAGCAGCAGTACAGCGGCGAGTTGCTCTCAGGGTTGCCTGCGCCTACCGCACAGTTTCCGAAGCGGCTGTATTGGTCATTGCGGGAGCCGCGTCCATTGACCTATTAGCGTTCGAAAGAGCAAAACTCTATGACGCTAAAGACAGTGAGGAAAACATGAAGGACGCAAGAACGAGGATAAAGGCGGAAACGCAGCAAGAGTGGCAGGACCGATGGACATCGGGAGAGACGGGCAGATGGAGGGGCGCGCGATCCCAAACATCAACGTCTGGCTTTCTCGGAAGCACGGAGACACGGACGTCTTCCTGACCCAGCTATTGACGGGACATGGGCAGTTCAATGCCTATCTTTTCAAAATGGGTTTGCACAGCACACCAACGTGCAAATACTGCCCAGACACAATTGACAACGCCGGGCACACGTTTTTCGAGTGTGATCGGTGGAAGGACAACAGAATCAGCACTGAAGAAACAATAGGCACCACGCTCTCCCCTGAGAGCTTGGTCACCTGCATGATAAAAAAAGAAGAAAACTGGTCAGCTGTTGCAGCCTACGTGCACCGCCTTTTAAAAGAAAAAATCGTAGAAAGGGATTAGAAACCAGTAGTAACAAGAAGTAGGTGTCATGAGACACAACATGGACTGGATTGAAGTAATGCTAACGCGGTCCCGTTCCAGTCTTCCCTGTAACATCTATGGGGAAATAAGAGAGGAGGATGTTTAGTCGGTATTGTTGCAAAATAATATTGACTTCTGAGTCCGACATACCCAGGCACCAACAAAAATAGTCAGGGAAGCTTCTTAGGGCTTCAAAACATCGAGATCTGTTGAAACCTCGATTTTTGCAAAACGGGGTGAAAACAATAACTTCCCGATTTTTCGAAAATCTTCGATTTTCTAAGCAGGAAGTTAAAAAAGAAGTAAATGTTAAAACTTATACATAGATCAGTCTCCTATCAAGAAAAATAATTGCAAATGTGTTTCAGGAGAAGACTTCGGTATAAAAAGTATTTTTACAGTATAATTTTTTAGTCTTATAAATTTCTTTTATTTAAATATTATACTTTAAATATATTTTATTAGTTATATATTGATAATTAAAAAACAAAATTATAAACTTTAAAGATCAGAAGCTATACATTTTTCACAACTCCGGAGATCAAGGTTCTTTAAGAAACTGAATATCCAATTTGAGTTAATTAAAAAGCATGTATGATGATTTGTCGCGAAGGTATTGTCAATCAAAGCAAAATATTCCTTTTTTGAAGTCAAAGAAAAATAGTATAGTGTTTCCTGCAATAAGTGACATTTTTTTTAAAAATGAAAATATCAATCATTGCATTAAAAAATATTTTAAACATTTCAATAATTTGAAATATGGATAGAAGATGAAAAGGTGACTTTTGGCGAAAACGATAAATTTCAAGCTATGGGGCACAAAGAATAAAAAATCGTAGTATTTTGAAATTTTCAGAATTATTTTTTATATTCCTTAATTTTTTTTATCAGTGTATATTCTTAGAAAAAGAGTAATTCCAGGAAAAAGTATTTTGGATTTATCGTATAAGGAGCTAATAAATTTTTTTAGAAATTTTTTACTAGTCGAATTCACAGAAATTCAAGTTATTTTTTCCTGGATTATTTGAGTACAATAAATACATATGCATACATGAATAATTAAAAATAAGTGGATAACATTATTTTTATAAACATATTTGTTAAATGTTAAAAGGTTCAAATTTTTAATTTTTTGAATATAAGAACAATTTAAGAAAATCATCCATAAAATTTAAGTATCATATGTACAATATTTCTATTTTTCTTAATAATTCGTCGTATAGACGTTTGGTGCTAATAAAAAATAATTTTATAAAATTTATAGAATAATTTTATCTGACCTCGCTGGTTCGGATGTTATATTATTTAATAGTATATTGTGTGACTAGGGGTGAAACAAAACGATTTCAGACCAGAGTGAAGTTGCCTGCCCGAGCGAAGCGAGGGCTGGCATCACTCGGTCTGAAATCGTGTTTCATCCCGAGTCACACATTATATTTTTTTGCTCGACGGGCAGAAAGTGTCAAATTTCGGCCCGCTGCGCTAAACGAAATTGCCACTTTCTGCCTTCGTCGAGCAAAAAAATAGCATACACTCCTCGGGAAGTAAACAAGAAAGCCTCAGATCACATGTTTGTTGACCTCGGCTTCGCCTCGGCCAACAATTACATGTGATCTGAGACATTTCTTACTTTACTTCCCTCGGTGTGTAATATACTATTTCATATAAGTTACATTAAAAATGCTAGTTTTAAATGTCTGGAGCCAACCAGAACTAGATAGTTTCAGACGAATAGCGAAAATACCATTTTATTATAAAACTTATAATAAAATAGAAAGTAATAGTTTATTTTTTATCAAATATTATTCGTAAATTGAATAGTTTTCTTTTGTCATTCGTATTTATGTTTAATAACAGAATTATAATATGTCAGTATAATTAACGGTTAGAATGACAATTATAAAGGTATAAAATAAACAAACAATTGATAGGATTGAAAATAAAGCTGCAACTTCATCATGCGGGCAGTAATTCGTCATTTTCTGTCCACCGGGAAGGAATGATTGATTCCTGCCCGGCACAGTCGCATTGGTCTGAAATTGTCTAGTTTCGGTTGGCTCAACAGGCATTGAAACTCGCATTTTCAATGCAGGTTATATTAAAAGTAATACGAACTGTGCATATATCATGATATGATAGATTATATTATCGATGCATTTTAATTTACGGAAATTTTTAAAATTTTGATTTTTCTTATTAAAATATTTGTGTGTCATTATTAGACGATTATTTTTACAATACTACACGATTTCAAAGATCGCTACTAATTTGATTAATAGATTTTTTTGATCTTACATATTCTAGGACTACTTTATAATTGATAATTTTAATAAATGTATGAAATTACAAACAATGAGGTATATAGTTTTTACATTAATTACACAGAATTGGTTTTTATATTATTATTTATTAAAAAGGCAATAATTATGATTTGTGACTTATGATAATTTTTAGTTACTTCTAGAATTGTATTGAAATTTATCTTCTAAAAATAGTTCATACATGGTCACAGCAGCATACTGAGTAGAGCACTCTCATACGCTATCGCGATCTAAGGCGTGCAATTACTTGAGTAAACTGAAATTTACCGACGTATTGGATTTGTTTCTATTACACGTGTAATTGAAAATTTGTCACATAAATTTGTAAATTTATTGATTGAATTTAACTAAACAATAGAATTATTTTGTTAATAGCTTTCTTTTTCTTTGTGAAATTTCCGGATTTAGTAAATTCCGGATTTAGTTTCATTGGTTTTTGCTGTTAGGTTTAATGGAATCAAGAAATAGGCTAATAAAAGCTAGAAAAACAATGTAGGTATGAGAAATTAATTGCATTGCAAGTTTACAATTAAATTATATTTCTTTATGAAAAATGTATATCGAATTTACGATGAAAAAAGAAAATTTTCTTAAGAAATTTCTTTTGGCACTTGGATAAAATCGTGAGAAAAATTAATTTAAGAGTGGATTTAAAGATGTTCGATTCATCTGAACTTTGTAAATAAGCAAAAAATTAATCGAAAAAATTTTTAATGCTATATATCGGTGAGAAAATTTGTAACTGCAAATGTAACTTTCATCAACAAGTGGTTGAAAATAAAATTATCATAAATTTACAAATATGATGGTGAAAGATTAGTTAACGTAACTGTTTAAAATATAATTTTATATATGTATTTTATACCATAAATATGCTATATGCTTCTTAAAAAATAGAATCGTAATTATCATTTATTTTTAATCTGATGAAAAATCCGCCAGCGGAGAACTGTTGATTTTTTTCTTAATAATCTTAATTGTGTTTCTTTATATAGTGTTTAACTAGCAAAATTTTATTTTTCTATAAAGTGCTACAATAACTTATGTGCATTTTTTACGATATATTGTTGTCAATTCCATAAGTGTATATTTATTTATTTTTATATAGTTACTCTTAGGGTCAACCTTCGTAATTTACTAGTAAGAATCCTTATCAAAAATATTTTCTAAAATGTAAGTGATAAACATTATTTTTAACTGCCATTCCTTTATTAATTATTTACTAGCAAAAATCAATTATTTCTTTTAGTCTACTGTAAAAACAAGTTATAATTAATTATGATTTAAAAAGTTTTTTCTCGTTATTCGATCATTATGATAAAAATTACATATATACTGAAATTTCCCATTCAATATTTATATTTCAAAAACTTAAAAAATAAGCATAAAGATAAACATTAAAAAAATTTTGAAAGTGAAGGTATTTCATATGTTTTCGAGTGAACTGAATTTAATATAGTGCTGTAATTAAGTGAGACAATAACTTTTGAAAGTTTCGCAAGGATAAAAAAAAAGAATATGAGGAAGTCTATTTTGAAGTATATCAATTTGAAGGAAAAAATTTTAAATTGTTGGATATTCATGTTCACAAGTCACTTGAAAACATTTAAAGTACACTTTTCAGATGAAAAAAATTTTGAGTAATTTTAGAACACGATAACCTAGTTTATTTTCATGAAGTGATAAAATGATTGAGTTGACCCAAGGGAAAGTATTTCGACTGAACAGAATCATTCCGAAGAATTAGATCAAGCAGAAAAAATCTTGATCCAAAATATTTATCTTAGTTTAAGGACTTTTTTGTTAGGTTAAAAAAAATTTTTTTCAAAATAATTTTATTAGTTCAAAATTTTTTGAATTACGTTAATTTTTTTGTAAGTAAAGGACTCGTAAAAAAACATTGGAGTTTTTTGCGCCACTTCAATACATAGCTTATACTTCCTGTATCGTATATGCTTGATGTACATCTTGTAATATCTTTCAATTCCTTGTGACTATAAAAATTTTATGATCCGTTTAGTGGATGGATAACAAATAGGTAATATTATATACTAATATAAATCATGTATAACTCTGAGCCAGAAATATTATGAGTGGAAAAATAATATTTTCTGAGTAGACATATAGTAAGTTATTTTATAAGTTTTTTTTTCGTGAAAAATATCGTCTACATTGTTGCACTTCATATTACTAAATAAACGAGCATTAACCATTTGTTAACAATATACTCTTTTATTGTGAATAGATCTTTATATATATATATATATATATATATATATATATTTTAATTATATTTTATAATATTAGAAAAATCTAACTCGAAATTATACTTCTTTGCATACCTTATTTATAATTTAACAACTACAATTAATACTGACATCACACTAACAAATACACTTTGTACTTGAGTTGTTATCATTTACCACAATCTTTGATCAATTTTACTGATAACATTAGATCATTTTGATTAACTTTTTCATGTAAAGTACCTATGACGTAACTATTGACAGTATTCATTTTCATTATGTATATTTTCAACATATCTAAAATAATGTTCTTCTTTGCAAATATATTTCAAAATATTCGTTATAAAATTAATCAAATAACGTTTTTATAATGTTAATTTTTTAGTATTGTATAATATAATACTCATGTATTTCAACGCATGGAGTATAAATTAAGTTTCCGATCCATCTATCAAAACTATCACTAATTTCTTATGATATTTAATTAATTTTCTGTTAGTCTACATCTAGCGATAAAAATGTGTATTAAAAATTATCGGCATATTTCTTAAAAATATAATTTTTTTTAGTTACATATGAAGATTTTCGTGATAACCATTCATTTCACTATACATCTTCTTTGCAGGTTCTTTGTTATTAGTACTAATAGTAGCGTTAGAAGGTGCTGGTGCAATGCGGTTAATTCCCGGAGGGATTCCATTTGCTAAATGACCGATGCCATTTTGAAATATTCGCGATGCTCCATTAGCTGCGCCATTCAAATGAACATGATTGCCATTTTTTCGAGACGACTTGAGTACATCGTTTGTAATTCGAGCGCTTTCATCTACAGCGTCACGAATTTTCGATCCTATTTCTTTCTTAACTCCTCGATGATTTACTCTATTCATTATGTTATTCACTGAAAGAATATTATTATTTTAATTATTTTATATAACAATTGATTTTTTCATTTACATAAACGAGGCAATGTTATTCAAATTAATTTAATTGAAATTTTAAAATAAAACAAGCTGTCAATTTAACAAAATAAACACAATATAAATGTGATAACTTTGACCAGCAATCGGAGAAAAATAACTTTAATTAAGTAACAAAGTTATGGATTTTTATTAAAGAATGAAAGTTAGGGGAAGGTGGCCTAAAGCGGGTATGTTAACGTTGAGAGCCGAGAAAATTTAGTATTTGCATGATAACAATTATGATTTTTTTTTTTTTTGATAGAGGATATATCGAACTTCAAAATCAATAAGCAATATTGTATACATTTTTATTAATTTATGATTTATTATTAAAATTAAAAAACACTCCCAAAAACCGCTTTGCCCTAGAGGGGGGCCTAAAGCGGGTAATCCGTTCGGGCAAAGCGGGTTGGCACTACAATTAAGGGAAAAATGCTTATTTTAGATATTTAAATAATAATTTTAGTTTCATTTAATCAGTCTTCAACAATTTAAAAGATTAACTTATTAAATATAGCAATACTTTAATATAAATGACTATTAAATCGGTAACTTGTTAATAAATTTTTTTAAAATGACAAATTATGAAGTCAAAAATTAAAAATAGTAAAAAATGTCGTTGCCGTCCAGATTGTTTGCTCCGTTTTGCTTTTATATTGACTCCCCACTCAAAAAAATAAGTATAAAACAATATCAGAGCAAAGCGGGTATCAACTCTGCAACCCGCTTTGCCCTACCCGCTTTGCCCGAAAACACGTTTTTTATTCAAGTGATGCTAACTTCAAATAATTCAAAACAAAACTTTAATATTTTTCTCTTAATTTTAACTGCAATAGGCTCAAATTAATAGAAAATTATAAAAGATATAATAAGTGTATTCGTTTTTGAACAATCAGAAAATATACACCTTTAATTTTTTTAAGAAATTATTAATTTTTTTTTAATTGCGTGTAATTACGTCATATTACTTCATTAAGGCTCGTTTGGGACTGAGCGAAACTAGGAAGTATTCGGGTACCCTCGACATGTACAAATTTTGTCCCTCGCGTTTCATGCGTCGGCGTACAAGCGCCTACCTGCTTTGGGCCACCTTCCCCTATATATACCTTTAAATGAATGATTACTTTTTTGTTTGTTGATAACATGGTTGCTTATTGTGTTAACACCATTTTTCAATCGTCCATTCGGCATTTCTGTTTTTTGATGGTTGGAGTTGATGTTGTCAGTTTCAAATACATTAGATTTATTATCGTCGTTATTATCAATTGGCGTTGATATTGCGAAATCTCGTGAATTATCTTCTTCTTTACAGCGCACTTGCCTCATCAATTGATAAAGCGTTGCTTCGAATTCTTGTTGAACTGAAGGTACATATGTATCTCCATCGATCTGAATTATAATGAAATTTTATTCAGTATAAAAAATTATTAATTTTATATAAATAAATGTTCGGGGAAGCTTCCTAAGATCTCAAAACGTTAACATCCGTTAGAAACTTGATTTTTAAAAAACGGGCTAAAACTAATAACTTCCCAACTTTTGAAAATTTTCAATTTTTTTAGCGGGAAGTTAAAAATAATTGATTGACAGCCAATTCTTTAATTCTTTCATTAGTATTGACTATATTTAGATATTATAATTCATAATTGATCGAAAAGTTGACTTATCATTTAATTTTGAGTATTCTCTATACACGGAAAAAAAAACTCGAAAAATTACAGTATATAATGCAACGTGGCGCTTCGTGATGAAAACTGAAAAAATTACAGTTTCAAATGTAATTATTACAGATTTTATAAGAATTACATTGTAGAATGTAATATTTACATTGAAAACCCTGAATATTAAATTAAAAATTGAATTTAGAAAAATGTTATTTCAAACTGTAATTTTTCTAGTTTTGATTACGACGGGACCGATTTTACATTTTATACTGTAATTTTTCGAGTTTTCTTTTTTCCGTATACGCATGGTAAAAAATTTCATATGAACTGAAAGTAGAATTTACTAGTTATAACAGAACTAAAATAATTACTCTATAAGTTGATTGATATAATCATAGGCATGTGCCAATTTTGTTATTCAAAGCTGGCAAAAATTCCGATTTTCCATAAAGATATAGTGAAAATTAACAATAATATTCATTTTAAAAAATGTTATTTTTATGAATCTTAAACTATTGAATAAAACTTACAGTTATTAATCGATTGTCACTGTCAAGAGTTTTCAACATTGGTAATGTTATTTCGCGAAAGATTTCTAGACGTTTTCGGAATGCTGGAACACTATCATCAAGTTTTCCTCGACCGAGTTGAAGTTTAGAACAGTCTAAAAGGACCAAAGTTGGCTTTTGCCCAAACTGTAAACATAAAATCAATTTTTTAGAATTTCTGATAGCAACAACTCAATTGATGTTATAAATTAATGTAATAATAAAAAAACTAACTTTGCTCTCAAATTCTTGAACTTGATTCAGATCGCGGGGAAATCCATCGATTACAATCCCATCATGATTCCGATTGAGTAGAACTTGTTGTTCTACTAACTGCATTACGACATCTTGTGCAATCATCTCGCCAGCAACAATGGAGTCACTTATAGTTGAATTGGATGATGCCATTGTTCGGAATAAACTGCCTATACTTATGTGTGACCAATTAGGCATATTGCGAATTGCTTGAGCACATAAATTTGACTTATTGCTTCCAGGTCCACCTGCATGTAAATCTTTATATGTATAATTTTAGTCGATAATTTTTTATCAACTGTAAATTTTTTTAAAAAAATTTTACCAATGACCCAAATGAAACTAGGAAGTCCTTTCCTCGCTTTGTTAGCCGTTTTTGCTGGATTGATTCGTGTTGTAGGTGATAGTAGCGCAATATGATTTGAATTTGCGGAAGATGGTTGTGTCCGTTCTACTTTAACCTATTATTTAATAAAAATCATCAACATTTAGAACTTATAAAAATGATTAAATCATAATGCCTGTTATTAAATTCAATCTCGAAAATAATAAAAAAATAAAATTAAATAAATTGTGTAGCTGACTTTTTAAATAAAGAAACGAAAAATCGGTAATTATTTAAGGGGAGGGGGGAATAACTCTGTTTTTATCCTTAAAAAATGAAAAAATTAATTTTTTGGGATATTTAATTACATGAAATTATTTGTTTTTATGGTGCATTTAAGAGAAAATTATAAACATTGTCAAAAAATTGTTTAATTCGTTTTAATGCTTTTAATTTTGAAAAAACTAAAACGCTTACCGAAAAGCATTAATAAATTTTATCAAAATAAGTGTAACAATTTCTGGTATTTCTTTTTGTATTTGACATGTGAAATCAAACAACTTTAAAAAAAAAAAAGATTTTCAAAATAATCACCTTGTCGAATCTTTAAGATTAAAAAAAAAACTTGTTTCAACGTTGAAAAATTGACATGAAAAAAAAAAAATTTTTTTTTAACTTATTTTATTTTCCAAGAATTTTCAGACAAAAAATAGTTGAATATTAAAAAAAATTTAATTATGTTGATTGTATGGCCGAAAGTTAGATGATTCTCACGTGCAAACAATCATCAAAAAATTTTTAAAAATCGAACTCGTAGTCAGATATTGATTTGATGCCATAAATATTTTTTTTCTACCGAATTGCTTGTTTTAAAATTTTAACTTTTAAATTTTTTTCAAAAAAAAAAGTGTCATCTTTGGTAATTATAATTATAATTATAATTGTAATGCTCAAATTTCGCGGCATTTTGTTGTATACGTTCTCACATTGTCGACTCGATTAAAAACTGGATCGGACACGACTTATAATAGTTTGTGCTATTTTTTTTTATTTGCCAGGGCTGCCTTTCTCACAGGCTATCGCTAACTCAATTTTATTCATGTATCGCTGTTTTGTAAATATAAAATTTTTTTATTAAGATATTAACGATACTTAATTATTTGAAATAAATGTGTTCGGTTAACATTTAGTATAAACTACGTGTTGAAAGTCTGATTTTTTATAACTAATTACTCAAAAACTCTTAACCAGATTTTTTTTCAAAAAATTATTTTATACATATTCAATATCGATTAACAATAAATAAAAAATTCAACTTTTCATCTTTACATTAATTGCCTTAAATTAATGTCCGATTCACCTTAAAAGTTAGTCAGCTGTAAATAGCGCTCATGTGATTTTACTACGATGAAGATGGTGCCGCGACAAAATATCCGTGGACAAAATAACCGCGACAAAATAACCGGACGACAAAATAACCGCGGACAAAATAACCGCAGATAAAATAACCATGTGACATTACAACCACGTTACAAAATAACCGAACGACAAAATATTTTAGAAAAAAATATTCTTTAATAAACACACAAAAAATCCATGATAGAAAAGGCACAACATGGCAACAATCTCATGTGTTGATCTAATGTCGAATAAATGCACACATAAACCATGTTAAAAAGGCACAACACGATTACCCGCATTTGTGTTGATCTAATGTCGAATAAATACACACAAAAACCATGTTAAAAGGGCATAACACGATTACCCGCGTTTGTGTTGGTCTAATGTTGAATAAATACACATAAACACCATGTTAAACGAGCACAACACGATTACCCGCGTTTGTGTTGATCTAATGTCAATTAAATACACATAAACACCATGTTAAACGAGCACAACTCAGCAAAAATATTATGTGTCAGCCTTTTTACAAATAAACATACATAAAATCCATGAAAATAAAGGCGCACTACAATTTCTAATTTATGTATCTTTTAAAAATTCGCGGGTGATGATGTTAGATTATTTTGTAACGTGGTTGTAATGTCACATAGTCATTTTATCTGCGGTTATTTTGTTATGGCACCGATGAAGATATCATATACAAAGATTTATAAAAGATGATTTTAGTTTTTTATCAATTGTAAATCATAATAAAACTATGCCAAATTAGGTGATGATTTTCAATATCAACCATTTTATTTGAAAGAAGAAACAAAAATGACAAAGAATTGTTTGTCAAACTGACGTATTTTTAAAGTTTCGTAATCCATAATTGATATAAAGGGTTTTTTTTCCAGAAGAGGAAAAATTTTTTGATAATGAAGCATTCTGCTTCGCATTATGAGTCGTGCAATTATTGTTACTATATAATAAAACTAACCTCTGCTTCTAGTGGTTGATGCATTCTGTCCCTGAATCCTAATTCAGGGGAGCCGAGGATTTGTATTATCGCTTCACGGAAATCAACATAAACTTCACTTGGATTTCTTTCACCATTGACCTATAGAGTATTTTATTATTTAATATAATATAATAATACAACAAAAATCTGACGTGTTTTGTTCTTGACAGTAGGCAAACATGTCGATTAATGTCAACAGGGTATCCCTAATTCAAAGTAGGGCATAAACAACTAATTAATAAAATATTAAAAAACTTTTCAAGGGGTCAATCAACAACAACGATAACGTAGTATAAAGTTCATATTAAGCTGACTCAACCCTGAGCGTTACGCTCCACAACATTGATTATTCCACGAATTCATTAAATATTAACATAATGAAAGATTTTAACTGATCAGTTGGTTTTATTTCTTCATACTTCTATACTGAATAAATATTAATATTTGGTCATTTTTTGTCATGTGGTTGATTGATTTTTGTATCATTAAGATGTTGTGTAGTTTCAAAGCAAGAAAATAAATTTACGAAAAAAAAAAAATAAAAAATAGAAAACAACAATTCTTATTTACCTCAATAAGAATTTCATTTCTGTCAAAGTATTCAGCAACAGGCATGACATTTCTGTAAAAATTTTTAAGCTCCATTCGTGCCAAACTCAGAATTACATGACCGAGTTGAGCACCATAATCGATTTGTCGCTCTAGAACTTCCTGCCTCCAAGATACTAGAACTACGCCATTTATTACTTGGATCTATAACATTAAATATATAGCTTCATATGCTAATACATATTTTTAAGAACATTAAAGCTGTAAAAATAAACGTGGATAAGTAGAATATGGCAGTTCGATTAGGTATAGTCGTCGCCGTCTAAATTATTGAAAGGCGAAAAGTAAATCAGGTCAAAATATTTCTGTTTTTTTTACACTTATTTTTTGCTAGTTATCATTTTAACAGATAATAAAATGTCAATCTTGCGAGTGAACATAATGAAAATTAAACCTCATTAGTAAAAGTACGTCTAAATAAATTTGTTTTATTTATATGAAAAAAGAATAATTATTCCCAAGTTTACCTTTTCTGAGTATTCCACTACGTCACGCATATTCCGTGGATACCCACTGATAAGGAAAGTTTTTGCGTTTGGTGACATTTTCATTTCCAGCATAAGTACTTCAGCGACAGTTTTACTACTAAGAAGTCCAAAATCTTGCATGTCTAGAAAATAAGATTTTTAATTTGAAAAAATTCCAAATTTTTCTGTTTTAAGTATTGTGCAATATATTATATTATAAAAAAAATTGTTAACGATGATATATTATATTATTTTTATAGTTATTCTAGAATTATTACTGATGAAATGAATAGTGATTTTTAAAAATTAAGAAGTTATTGATTTTTGTTCAATTTTCGAAAGATGAGTTATCAGATCTTCACGTTCTGAGATCTTAGGTAGCTATTTTGACTATCCCGGGCTAGATACTAACACGAAAAAAATAAATAGGGAAAAATTACATTATATAATGTAATGTGGCTCTTCATATGAAAAACTGAAAAAATTACAGTTTCGGATTGTAATTTTTACAGATTCTGTAAGAATTACATTGTAAAATGTAAATATTACACTTAAAGCTATGAAAATTAACATTCAAACTTGAATTTATAAAAATGTTATTTAGAACTATAATTTCTCTAGTTTTCAATTTGAAACTTTTCTTTTTTCATTATAATAGTGAGTGAGTAAATGAAATTTTTTTTTGTACGATATACATCTCAAAAACGAATTAATCGATTAAGATACGTGAAAAATTAATCGAAAGAGTTCATTGACACTTAGCTCTAATTATATTTTGAAATCAATCGGTAGAGCCGTTTCATAAAAATACGATATATATATATATATATATATATATATATATATATATATATATAGGAGACTTTCTATAGATAGTCACTCATCAGCAGATATCTCTGGAACTATAAGACCTAGAGACTTGAAATTTGGTATTAGGAATATTCTTTTCGCTGAGTAGAGGTCAGCTAAGAACGGATTATACGAAATTCCACCCACAAGAGAGGTTGCGGCGGCGTTAACAATGAAAAATTCCCTACTATAGCTCCTATCGACTCCAAATTTGGTAGGAATTTTCTCTAAGAGATGTAGAAATAATTAACGAACGAATTTCAAGATACTTCACAGGAGTTTGCGGGGGTGGGTGTTAACAATTAAAATTTTTAATTTTCAAGTTATAGCTCCTATAAACTCTAAAATTAGTAGAAGTCTTCTATATGTGATATAGAAATGATCTAAGAATGGATTTTACAACGAATCAACTCCAATAATGATCGTGGGAGTGGGTATTAACAATAAAAAATCTCAATTTCCAAAATATAGCTTCTAAAAACTCTAAATTTGGTAGGAATCTTTTATTTGTCATGTAGAGATCATCTCAAAACGGATTTCAATAAATTCTACTTCCAACAGAGATTGCAGGGGTGGGTGTTAAAATTTCAAATTTCCATTTCCAAACTGTAACTTCTACAAACTCGAAATTAGGTAGGAAACTTTCATTTGTCATGAGGAGATCCTCTCAAAACGGTTTCCAAAAAATTCTACTTCCGATAGGGATTGCGGGGGTGGGTGTTAAAATCTAAAATTTTAATTTCAAAACTGTAACTTCTGCAGATTCTAAACTTGGTAAGAATCTTCGTGTACGATTTCAAGTTCAGCTGAGCATGGATTTTCTCGAATTCTAACCCCAAAAGGGATTGTGGGGGCGTTAACAATGAAAATTTCTCATTTCCATATCGATAGTTTTTATGGACTCGAAGTTTTGTTGGAATCTTTTATTTATAATGTAGAAATCGTCTCAAATATGATCTTACGAAATTCCTCCTCCACATAGGAGTGCGGGAGTGATAATTGTCAAAAATTCATATTTTTCAAATACCTACAGTTCTTACAAATATAAAATCTGATAGAATCTCAAGAGAAACAGGCAAATACCGGGATGGCTTCCAAGGTCAATGGATTTAAATATTTTTCTTTCTTAATAGTGATATTTTCTTACAACAATCGTCTCTTTGGCAGCGGCAAAAAAGTCATTGTAACGTTTCCAAAATTTAACATCACATGTAGCTATCCAGTCAACGGACTAAGAATTTTACATACATTTTATTTTTGCTGATCACATAACCGATAAATTGTTCTTACTACGGGATCGCGAAAATGTAACAGATTAAAAGCATTGCATTTTCTAAACACATGAGATATAGAAAAGAAATTTGGCTACTCATTTTAAGAAAATTCGTAAAAAACAAGTACAAACGATTTTCTATGTATAATTGATGTTACGGAGGAAATTTTAATTAACGGCGAAATTCGTCGCAATTTTAGCTAGGCAGATTTCAACTTCACTTATAAGACCTGCAATTACTTTAACTAAAACTATCAATGCTCATTTCAAATTTTGTTTTTCGTGTCAATTAATATTCATTTATGGAAGAAAGCCACGGGAATCTTATAGTGATTGCACATTGAAAGTTACAATGAATTTTAGCTAGAATAATCACATGGATAAAAGATACAGGCCAATTTGATGGAGTTTGGAAACTGTGCAAGTCAAAATAGTACTCCAATTAAATTTCAAGTCTAGATCTAAAAATACAATTCTATAAAGCGCCCAGCGGAACGGGCGGGTAACAGCTAGTTTATTATATTACATTTTAGTGTTAAAAATAAAAATTGATAGGTTTTAATAACGCAACTATTCATTGGATGCTTTTGTTTTTAAAAGGTAGATTATAGAGTGATTCATAACAATACAAATAGAAAGTCTGACTGAAATGATATCAAAATAGAACCTTGAGGCATTGCACTTGACCTATTATGATATTATTTCTATGTTTTAGAATTAGAATCAATAATAGTGATACATATTTTAGTAATACATATTTTTTTTACAGATAAATTGATTATTGAAAAGAAGTAATTACACAGTAAAATTTCGTTTGCTGTAAATATAATTAATATTTAATTTGATGATTTAGAATTAAGTTATAATTACAAGGTAAAAACTAAATAAAAAATTCAATCAAATAGATGATTAATTAATTACGTAAAATAAAATGAGGTCAATAATCGACGGTACTTTAGTAAAACCTCGTATCTTCTATGTATTTTAAATGAGAGATACGAGGTTTTACCAAAGTACCGTCGTAATGTGAATGTTGATTCAATAAAATAGTCAGTAGTAAGTTCTTTGGTAATGAATTACAACTATCATTATTGAGATTGGAGTTAAATTTTTATAAAAATCATAAGTTTATTGTTTTTTTTTAATTCAACAAAATTCAAATAAATGTTATTTTAATTTTTTTAATTATTCGAAAGTAAAAAATTTTTCAACAAAAAAAAAAAGATATTTTTATATTAATTTTTATTACTTCTTAAAATTTTTCAATATTTATAATTTTCTAGTGTTAAAATTACTAGCATCAACTGACATTTCTCTGAATTTTGATAATAAAACTAGAAAAAATAATTTTTATTTCTTCAAATATAATATCAAAGTAAAAATATTAAAACGAATTTATGTGAGAAAATTGAATAAAATTCTTTTTTTGACGAATATAAGTTTAATTTTTATCGAAAGAGTGTTTTTGTATCAAGAGATTATAAATTATTATAATATTCTATAATTGAGAATCCTTTTGAATTAACATTTTCTAATGGAATGAGTAATCAAAATGAAGAAGAAGTTCTTCATAAAAATTTTATGAATTTTTTATTTTCTAGGGAAGAAATGTTAAAGTGTAGTTCTTAAGCATTGGAATTGTCAGAAAAATGCATCAAAATCATTGTTACTAAATTACTATTACGACGATGACATATATTATTGTTACTATAAACACGTGCGTGCTCTCAAGAAATACGTGACAACGACGGGCAATGAATCCTGTCACGGACGATCGATCACCGAGTTATCGATTTTCACACAATATTCGCGGTCTAGGGTATAAGTCTTCATTATATTGTATTATGTAATGTAAAAATATAATGGATTTTTTTTTTTTTCAAGAAAAAAAAAGTATAAATAATTAATTAATTTAATGTATACGTGTTAGTTTAAATAAACAATAAGCAATATAGTATTTATTAAAATCATTACCGTTTCCAATCGCGTACTGTTGCAATAAATCGGTCATATTTATGTGCGTTATTCCTATTTTTTCTTGAATTAAACTATCGCAATGCGTCACCTTTCCACTGCCTGGCCCACCTTAAAATTAAAATATAAATATAATGTTAATATTTTGATCGGATTATTTAGTACTACACTAATGATAATGATTTTCACATGATCAGCGAGGAAATACTAATTAAATATTTATTTGAAAAAACATAATTATTAGATAATTATTATTATTATTATTATTATTATTAGTATTATTACATAATTTTATGATTAGATTAAGATACCGATATGCATGGAAATTTTAAACTAAACCAAAAATTAAACTAACCGAGTACAAAAATGACTGGAACTGTAGGAGGTTCAAATTTGACAGGACCAATATTTTGAGTAGGAAATCGTCCATTCGGTGGTGTCGACAAAAGTCCCGCTTCGCCTCGCCATTTTCCAACACTCTGAGCATTGCTGTCTTCGAACACCTGCGATCCATTTTGTTGATCTAAAATCATAAAATATAGAAACGATTTTAATTTAAATAAAAAGTTTTGATAAAATTTATTTTGCGGCAGCAATTATTTTTATATAGAAGATAAATTCTATTTCGTAGATATTTTAGTTCATTATCGACCAAAGTTGATAACTGATTACAGAAAAAAATCTGGAAACCGGTTAAGTCTGCAGGCCATCCTTGAAACTTCTCCCTAAGTTAAGGTGTTTTGAGCTCAACACATAGTCAACAATATATCTAAGCGTAATAGTGTTTTTGGCTTTTCGAGCTCAAAAATTTAGAGGCTACTGAAGATAACTCCGTTCTAAAAAATTTTGAAAAGCTATACCTTTTGAATGCTTCGTTTGATTTATCGTAAACGATATTGCAGGAACGAATCAATTGATTTCGATGCATTTTGCGGCATTCGACAGTTTTTAAGCTCTAAAAATATTGTGGCAGGTACAAAATCGATTGGTAGCGAAATTTTTAAGTTTTATTGAAAATAAATAAGTATCTCACGAATGAATTATAGTTTCAAACGGCATTTGACGTCATTTTTTCAGGCTAAAGTTGATTAGGCTATAGAATTGATCGATAAAGCAACTTGAAAGTTATTTTCAAAAAAAATCATTTTAACTTCTTTTTTTTAATTTTTCGTAATCTATCGTACTTTAATCGGTTCTAGCTTTTAGAGAATATGGGTTCAGTAGAACCCTTCGAATGCCACAAATCGCGATTTGATTGGTAGAGCTGTTCAAAAGTTATAATAGGTTTACACACACATACCTCATCGTAAAAATAATAAGAATAGCTTTGTACCCGCATGGAGAAATATATATGTAAAAAATATATGTCGCATATATAATATATATGCCGCATATATTTACGCAAAAAAAAAATATGTCAACATATATTTTTCACATAGATGCTGACATATATGCTTACATATATGTAGACATATATGTAAACATACACTGAAAAAAAATTTCTAAGTTTGAGAATTTTTTTACTCAAATCAAGAAAGTTAAATTTTGAAAAATTTAACTTTCTCGATTCAAGTTAAGTTTTTTTCCGTGTATCTCTAGACACTTATATGCGCACATATTTGTAAACATATATGCACGCATATATGTGAACATATATGCGGACATATATTTAGCGCAAAAAAAATATATGTGAAAATATATATTTGCATATATTTTTCGCATATATATTTTTCCATGTGGGTAGGAACTCAAAACGTAGAGATCTGATGAATACTTGATTTTCGAAAATTGGGACGACATCAAGAACTTTTCAATTTAAAAAAATTTTTAATTTTCTTAGTGGGAAGTTAAAATCAATTTAATTTCATAAACTAAAAATTGATTTTAATCAAGAAATTGTTTCTTGGTTTCGAAAAATTTCAATTCCGTTAAAGATAATTAAAGAATATTCATACTTCAGTCAAGAATTTATTTTTTTTTCGTGTTTCGTTTATAAACATGAGGGGAACTTATAAACATATCGTAGGCGTATAGATATATGTTAACAATGAATTGGAATTTTTTACTTTGTCTTGCCAATTGTATACCACTTATATTGCACGCGATGATGATTTCCTCTTTATAAATAAAATTCATGTTCAAAAATAGATTTTGAGATTTTATAATTCAAATCTAAGTCGATTATTATTTTTTAGCTTTTTTATAATAAAATTACGGTGTGACGCATTTTGGACCCAAGACAATTCATCCCCGACAAATCATCCCTTCGACAATTCATACCCTGACTTCGCGACAATTCATCCCAGCGACAAATCAGACTATTGATTATTGGGCCCAGGATAAATTATTCGGGTGACCGTCTGTTTTTTCTCATGCAAAAATTTCTCGCGACAGAAATTCTCAGTAATAATTTCTTGTACAATATTTTCTTATACAAAAATTTATTAAATTTTTTATAGCTTATGTGTTGGCCTATTTTTAGATAAACACACACAAAAACCATGATAAAAGGGCATTACACGGTATCAAGCTTATGTGTTGGTCCAATGTCGAATAAACACATATAAAAACCATGATAAAAGGACACAACTTAATTAATATGTTTGTTGATTTAATTGTAATAAATACGCTGTAAGATTCTTGGTGATTATTTATCTTATAAACAAACCGAATTTAATGCATGAAGGACGAACTGTCGTGTATTAATAAATAATGTATCGATTGTCCTGCGGATTAATTGTCGTGAGGATGATGTGTCGGGGATGAATTGTCTTGGGCCCAAAACTCAGTAAACCCAGTAACTTTCTTGTTGAAAAAAAGTTTTTTTGATTTAGAAAAAACAATTTTGGATAGACAACTTGTAAATTTTCATCTAAAATTGTTTTTTCTTAAATGAAAAAGTGTTATGGGAATTTCATGTCACAATCATTAAAACTTGAAATTTTATTAGTTGCGATATGAAAAATTTAGTTTGCAAAATGAGATGAAATATAATTTTAAACTGCGGCTGTAAATGCTATAATAAAAGTTTTTAAAAATAGTTTATTACACACCAAGAGAATATTCTACTCAGCTAGTACCTATTATAATGATACCATTATTGATGTGAGGTGGAATACGACAACTTCACTTACTGCTTTGCTATAAATACAATGTTAATTTAAGATTTGTTATAAGTTGTAGTCTATAATTAAATACAGAAAGTGAAGTTATTGCCTACCTAATAAATATGCAGTAAGTGAATTTATTGCCTCTTACGTTGTAATCTAAATACGGCAGTATAGATTTTGTATCTCTGAAAAAGGGATTTTGTATCAGTTTCCACACATGCACATATTGACTGTTTATTAGTTCAAGTGTACAGTTTATATTCTACGGTTTCGATTATAGTATTTTTAACTCCTCACCATGAAAATCAATAATTATTAAAAAATAAGGAAGTTATTGTTTTCGTCCCAATTTTTGAAAATCATTGAAGATTTCATCGAATCTTTACGTTTTGAAGTTTAAGAAGCTTACAAGTATTTTTATGGTTTGTGTGTGTGTGTGTGTGTGTGTGTGTGTGTGTGTGTGTGTGTGTGTGTGTGTGTGTGTGTGTGTGTGTGTGTGTACTTTTGAACTGCGTGATTAATCGAAATGCAGTTAAAAGTATTCCAAAAGTAATCTTTGGACTCAGATTTTCTGAAAATTGAAAATGGTTTGGTTCAATATTTTTTAAAAAATTGCAAAAAAAATTTTCAAAAAACATTTTTTTTTCTTTTGAATAACTTCAAAACTACTGTACTGATCAATTCAAAAATCTACTCAGCTCTTTTAATTGATAAAAGACATCGACTGCTACAAGTCGCATCGGAATTGGCTGATCCGTTGAAGAGATATTGCAATTTAAAATTTTCGAAAAAATCATTTATCAACACAATTAAGAATTTTTGAGCTCTTTAATTACCTACGTTTAGATATATGTTTTACGACAGATTTCCAAGGTCAAGATATTCTTTTAGCTTTTCGATAACAAAATCACCTCATTACTTAGGAAACTTTAACATTAAATGTAATTAAACATCGCCAGTATCTAAGGAACTCAAGTTTTTAATTAACTTTATTTATAGTTATCAAAGCTAATTAACTTTAGTTCTTCAGTGTTGCTTATTGAACAACGACTTTTTTTTTTCGAAGCGCATTCTACCAATCCTTCAATATGGTTAAGCTATTAATCATTTTGCTGATGAATATCTACTTTGCCGCATCTTCGGTATGTATTTTTTGGTTATTAGTTTGCAGTAGGGGTAATGAAAATTCAGTTTTATTTTAAAGTTAACTCAAAAAAAAGCATGGGGTCATGAAGCTAAGAGTTTTTCCGTAAAGATACCATACGAAAAAAATTAGGAAAACGGTTGACCCTAAAGGGCATCCCTGCAACTTCTCGCTAATTCAATACCTAAGCGTTAAGAATAGCACTTATGACGTTTTTGAGCTCTTCAATCTCAAAAATATAATTTATGTGTTATTTCAAGCTCTCCGAGCTCAAAGAGTTAGTTGTTCTATGCTTTTGAGCTCTTCGAGCTCAACAGTCTAATGAAAATTTAATAAAACACTATTTTTTTAATTTTCAAACTACAATTACCTTTGAATGAATAAACCGATTTTCACGTGGTTGGCAGCATTTGACGCAGTTTTTTGAATCCTATGATTTACTTTTGAACACAAATTGATCATACCGAAAATTTTGGAGAGCTTTGAAAAATTTACTTTTTTCGTTAATGATAACTCACGAACGAATCAACCGATTTTGACAGGCTTGACGGCGATTGACGCGGTTTTTTTATGTTAAGAGCTAATTAGTTTTTGAAATCGATCGGTAAAGCCGTTTAAAAGTTACTCCAAAAAAACCACATTCAGAAAATTTTTTTCGTAATTTTTTTGAGATTTCTCAAGATCTACCGGTCCGAATCGACCCAAATTGTATTCAAAATCTAAGTTTGGTTAAGCCCTTTCGAATGGCGCCAACCGCGATAAAATTGGTCAAGTCGTTCTGAAGTTATGAGAGGTTTACATGCATCCACACACACACACACACACATACAGTCATAAAGACACCATTGTAAAAATCGTCAGGGAAGCTTCCTAGGACCTCAAAACGTCAAGATCTGATGAAAACTCGATTTTCGAAAAATGAGATAAAACCAATAGAAACCTGATTTTCGAAAATTTTCAATATTCTTAGCGGGGAAGTTAAAAATTACCTATGAAAGTTACATAAATAATTATGTAAAATTTACATTATTTTAAACAATGTCATATTTACAAAGAAAAACTGTTAAATTCACATCAGATATGACATCATAAACATTCCATTGTTGAATAATGTTATAGTTACAAAGAAAAAATTATGTTGACAAAAACATTATGTCAATTTTGTATAGGAGTAAAAATACTGATCTAAGAAACTTCAAAAAATGTGAAGCGTCAAAGGTTTTAGTTTACTGATTGCATTTTAACTTATATGGATGGGGAAGCTTGTGCTTTAAGAAATTTTTAAAGGCCAATATATCTCTACTTGACACTACAGTATCAAACGCTGCTTTTAAAAATTACTAAGAAAAAACATTTTTTTCAAGAAACAAAAAAAAACCTGAAAAACGGTTGACCGGCAGGCCATCCCTGGAACTTCCCACTTTTTTCGAGCTTAAAACTTTCGGAAATCTTCCTATTGGTTGATTTTTGAGCCGAAAAGAAAACAACTTCTCTCAAATAAATTCTAAAATTCTGTATCGAATCAGATTTATATTCTCAATATTTTCATGAAACATTAAAAACCACGTCAATTGTCGTCAAACACAATAATTGTATTACTTTAGATAGATAATTTCAATTATTTGCTCAAAATTGTTCTGTTGAAGGGATTACTCTAATTAACTTTTTAAGTTAAAAACAATTACTATTACTTGAATACGGGCTTTAAATTCATAATTGATATAACTGATTTTCATATTTAATCGATTCTACTGATAAAATAGTAGTTGATGTCCATCAAATAAGGTTCGCTCCAGCGTCGCCTAGGTTTAAGACAAGTTCTTAACCAACACAGCTCCCCTACCACACAACTTCAAATGGCCGTATGAGAAACATTGAATTCAATTCAATTCAATCCAAGCACTAACCACAGTAAATGCTGCTTAGCTTGGGTGATCGCCAGAGTCAGACGCGTGCCGCGTGGCTGTCTCTGTCGCTTCAATTATACAATTTATTTTTTGCTTAAAAAATGAATGAGTGTTATGAGGCGTGCACTTTTGGATTTTCCAAACTTTTGGCACTCTCTTGTGTCCTACATGAAAGTATATATAGTAAATGAAATTTTTTGTTGATAATTAGTTTTCTAGCCTAACCTAGTTGCATTTTAATAATTCTGGCTTATAAGTAATCTAAACTAGAATAAAGAATAACTCAACAATTAAATCAATCTCAAAGATTATATTAGTTGTGCGTTTTTTAGTAATTTCTTTATGGTAAAGTTTATTTACTTGAATATGTGATGGGTCTTGAGATAAGGCATTGAGATGTCCTATACATGTTCTTTGATGTAAACTCTGCATTTTTCATTTGTAAAATTTACAAATTTTCTAATGCTAAATTTACATTTTTTCCATGTAAATTCAATAGTTTATCCACATGTTAAATTCACATTCTTCCATATTAATTTAACAGTTTTACCAAGTAGTAAATTCACATTGTTTATAATGTAAAACTTACATTTTTTTAAATGTAAAATAAACATTTTTAGATTGAAATTTTTTATAATGTGAAAATTACATTTTTAAAAATGTAAATTTGACAGTTATTTTTTCACAGGAGTAAAATTGAATATTTGATAGTTTTTTCTGTAATTTTGAGAGGACTTTTTTTTCTGTGTATTGGCAAAGACAGAAAAATAATTATTTTTCTGCTTTATTCCCATAGGAAAACGAAGTTCTGATTCATGGACCAAATACTCCGCTGTACATTTCGAAATTAGTAAACGGGCATATAAAAGTTGAAATACAAAGACAAGTAAGTAAAAAAATCTTAACAACCAATAACATATTGTGTTTATTAAATGAATGAATAAATAAATGAATTATTACAGAAAATGGCTAGTGTCGCAGCTAAGTACTCTTATGATAGTAAGTCTCTCAGATTACAATTACTCCCATTAAATTTTAGCAAATACAATTTTGGATAACTTACAGATGCGATTCATCTACAATGACTACAGCAGAGATGGTGAGCAAAAATCTCTCGATCGTGCAATGAAAATAATTGATAGCATCAATTCTAAATACCAAGATGTTAATTCTAACCCTCGAGTTGAGATCTTGGAAATAATTATTGAAAATGAAGTTCCGTTAAAAAAACGAGATATTTTTTGTTTTTATGAGATATCACATCCCAAGTGTCAAAAAGGCGCATTAAAGCAGTTAAATTAGGTTTTATGTCAAATGAGCGTATAAGAAGCTATTTTTTAATCAGACGCATAGATAATTAATTTTTAATTGAAATAACGTCCCTAAAAGTACGTGCCAAACAAAGACACAAGAAACTGTATGACTAATTAATAGCTACTAGAGATAACGTAGTCACACACATTTACTTATACATTCACATGCGTGCAAACGTCTTCGTTTGAAACGCACTTGACTGGACATTGGCGCTCTCTCTCTAGCGCATAAAAGGCTGTTATTTTAATTAATAATTAATTATCTATGGGTCAGATTAAAAAATAGCCGAGGGCTTTTCGTTTCAGAATTTTTTTTTCTATCAGATGTTACAATGGTGTCCGTTACTTCTGAGACAACTTGTATATATACGCGTGTAAATATGAGGCATTCCCCATGAGGAATGGTTCTCATAATGGTCTGTAAGAGCGAGAAGTTTCAGGGATAGCCTGAGAGAAGTTTTAGGTATGAGTTGCTTCAGGCAAATTTATTTCTTAAAAATTTAGATTGATAAAAGTGGAAAAATAAATGTCTTTTTTTTTTTCAAGCCAAAAAAAACCTAACTTCACAATATTTTCCGAACAGATTCACCAATTTCAACTTGCTTTGCGGTAGTTGATCTTTTTTTTTTAAATTGATCGGTACTGTATTACATATAAACTTTTAAGTTATCTAAATAATCAACCTTAAGTATTTATTTTTGAAACTTTCTCGTCAAACAATATTAAAACAATATAATAACTCGGTATTATTGATTTTATAAGATACATTTAATTAATGTAAAAAACAAAAACGCCTTAATGTTTTTTATCATTATCACGATCGGTTAAAATACTCCTTATATATTTATAAGTTACCGTCAGTGATGATTGTAAATGTTAAATTGTTTTAATAAATTTAATTATGTTTGATTTTCACGACGATTTTTAAACAGCTTGAAGGCGTAAAACTGATATTTTTTGAGAGAATTATTTTTAAATTTGAAAACCTTAAAAATGGATAAATACAAATAAATCCAAGTTATATTTTTTTAATGATTTTTTAAAAACGATAGTGAATTATTAAATGAAGATTCAGTCAATATTTCAAACTAAAAATAATAAAGAATACTAACCAGTGTCCAAGCAGATGCCCATAGTAAGTTCCTCCAATAATGGCTGAATTGTAAAAGGGCCATTTAATTCACATGATAAATGATTTCACCCACTATACTAACGCAAAAATTTGAACCAACAATTAACGTAATTAATTATCATTAATTTTCTTTAAAACTTCAATATACTTCGATATATATTTTGATATATATACTTTGATATATATTTCACAACTTCTTTTTTAACTTATCAAATTTATCTGATTTATAAACTTTTATTTTTAATCTTTATCTCTGTTTACAACTAAATCACTTCACCCGTGATACTTTAATTTCTTCCAACGAATAATGTAATTGTGATTAGATGAAAAAACGGTCTTGTAGTTATTTTTCAAAACTTTATTAACTAACTTTTTAAACACTAAACTAAGGATGACTAATATCAACATATGTACTTTACGATGACCTTCTTAGGCCTTTAACTGATGACATTTCTTCCTCGCTTTTGAATAATTATTGAATTTGTTCAAACTAATAAAGTTTAACGTGCAAAAACGTTCTTATTACGTTTCAAGCATAAATAATTATTTGAATCACATTCGTTAGGATTATTAATCAAAATTTTAACTTTGACTGACACAACAGTTCATAATTTAAACATAAAACGTAAAAGTCAGTAAAGTGAATCAAAAACTGAAGTAAGAACGAGAATAATTCATAAAACTCAGGATCGTAACCGTTAAATACTAAATACGTTAGTTTCGAATCTTTATGTGTGAAGCAAACACGTAAATATACTAATGATTGAAATCAACTAATTTATTTAAAATGGCTCTCATTTTTTTTCCTGATGATATCTTTGTACTAGGTACCACAGAATTATTTTTCCGAGTGTATAAGTATGTAACTTTAATCGGCGTTTTGTAATCGTACTGACGAGTAAGTTTTGACGGACAGTCGAGGGTAGATACCCTTCCAACCATACATGTGGTCACTATGGTTACTACTATACTGCGATTGCGCTCTAATTGTCAACCTTTGTATATATTTACATATTTATTAATGATTGTATCGCTTATTGAGAACTAGGTATTATAGATTTATTTGAAATATACCATTTTATTACGGAAATTTTTTTTTTTTCTAAAATTCTGTTCTTTTTCAGTATTATTGATTTATTTTTTCCAATAGTTGTGTGATTATTTTGAATGAAAATGTAAAAATTTTTCAATTAAAGAGTATTTAAGACCTATTTCATGGACATATTTAGTATTCATTTATAATTTTATCAATATTATTTCAGTAATTTAAATGCCATTACAATATTGACCGGAGTTATTTGATGATTAATGACAGTATTAACTAATATCAGAAAAAAAGTTTGTTTATTTTTTCAGACAAATTCTGTTATTTGTTGATCAAAATATGGATGCTTTACTAATTTTGAATGATCAAAAAAGCACTATTGATCTTATATGGGTTAAAGGTTTGACCTTGTACAGAAACAAACATTAAATACTATAACACCACGAGAAAAACTTTTTATATAATTATATATGGTTATATAAAAATAATATAACCAGGTAAGGTTATATATAACTGCATATATAATTATACTAGCTGTTACTCGCCCGTTCCACTGGGTGCATTATAGAATTGCATTTTTATATCTAGACTTGAAATTTAGTTGGAGTATTGTTTTGACTAGCCCAGATTCCAAACTCCATCGAATTGGAATGTACCTTTTATCTATGTGATTATTCTATAGCTAATATTCATTGTAACTTCTAATGTGCAATTATTATAACTTTATTCCCGTCGCTTTCTTACAAAAACGAATAATAATTGATATAAAAAAAAAAAATCTGGAAAACGGTTGACCCTAAAGGCCATTCCCGCAACTTCCCGCTAATTCCATAAACAAGCTCTTAAAATTGCACTTATGACGTTTTTGAGCTCTTCGAGCTCAGAAATATAATTTATATGTTATTTCGAGCTCTCTGAGCTCATAGAGTAAGCTGTTCTAAGCTTTTGAGCTCGAAGAGCTCAAAAGTCTGATAGAAGTTTAATAAAACAGTATTTTTTTAATTTTCAAACTGCAATAATTTCTAAATGAATGAATCGATTTTCATGCGGTTGACAGTATTCCACACAGTTTTTCAGAATCTATGATATACTTTTGAACACAAACTGATCGAATCGAAAATCTTAGAGAAATTTGAAAAATTCACTTTTTTCGAATTTTTTCGACAACGATAACTCACGAACCAATCAATCGATTTTCACGTTCTTGGTGGTGATCGACGTGATTTTTTGAGCTCTAATAATTATTTTGTTTCGTCAAAAACGATTCAAAAAGAAATGTTAAAGTTCTGTGAAAAAACACTTTTTTCGAAATTTTTCGTTTTCGGTAACTCTCGAACGAATCAACCGATTTTGACGGGACTGCGGTGACAATCGAAGTGGTTTTTTTAACTTAAGAGCTGATTAGCTTTTGGAGTTGATTGGTAAAGCCGTCTGGAAGTTATTCCAAAAAAACGATTTTTGGAAAATTTTATTTTGTAGATTTCTCAAAATCTAGCGAACTGAATTGATTGAAATTTTTACGAAATTTAATAGCAATGATACTCTTTGGGTCGGCACCTATTTCGATCCGATCGGCCTGGCCATTCAAAAGTTATGAGGTTTACATACACACACACACACACACACACACACACACACACACACACACACACACACACACACACACACACACACACACACACACACACACACACACACACACACACACACACACACGACGACGCGTCGATTTACTGCGCATGCAGACACACACACACACACACACACACACACACACACACACACACACACACACACACACACACACACACACACACACACACACACACACACACACACACACACACACACATACAGCCGCACAGACACCATCGCGGGAATAGTCAGGGAAGCTTCCTGTGACCTTAAAACGTCGAGATCTGATAAAAACTCGATTTTCACCAAAAGGGGGTAAAACCAATAACTTCCCGATTTTTGAAAATGTTAAATTTTCTTAGGGGGAAGTTACAAATTTGAAATGAGCATTGAAAGTTTCAGTTAAAGAAATTGCAGGTCTCATAAGTGAAGAAATCTGCATAGCTTCAAGTGCGACGAATTTTTCCGTTTATTAAAATTTTTTCAGTGACATTAATTTTTTATAGAAAATTAATTTTACATGTTCTTTACGAATTCTATTTAAAGATGAGCCGAATTTAATTTCCATATATTAAGTGTTTGGAAAATGCATTATTCATTTTAATCTGTTACATTCCTGCGATCTCGCAATAAGAATAATTAATCGCTTAATGTGATTAGCAAAAACACATGTATGTATAATTCTTAGTCCTTTGACTAAATAATTACATGAAAAGTTAAATTTTGGAAACCTTATAGTGACTTTTTTCCTGCTGCCAAAGAAACGATTGTTGTAAAGAAATTTTTAGTAAATATTATTGAAGTTTAATAGACATGTCACGTTTATTTACCAAGATTGCATCATGTTGCATTCACTATTTATTTTTTTCCATGCATGTCTTAAATTTCATGTTTCAAGAAGCCTTAGCTTATAAACAAACACATTTTTTTACAATCTACTCACCACTCTGAAACAACCTGCATACGAAGTCAATTATCGCGAAATTCGTTTTTAGCCGATATCTAATGATCAAAAAGAAAAAATATTTAAATCAGTTGACCTTGGAATTTCCTGTTTTTCTTGAGATTCCATCAAATTTTATATCTGTACACTATATAAAAATTTTAACTTGACTCAAGAGCAAAAGACTTGAACCAAGAACACTAATTGGAAGAAAATGAATTTCTTGAGCCAAGAGGAAAAATTCTTGAGTCAAGATAATTTTCTTAATTCAAGAGAATCTATCTTGACTCAAGAATTTTTCCTCTTGGCTCAAGAAATTCATTTTCTTCCAATTGGTGTTCTTGAGTCAAGTTAAAGTTTCTATCGGTGTAGGAACCGTATTTGAGAGTATGACTTTTTTTACAATTAACGACCCCGCACTCTTATATGGGGGAGGAAGTTCGTAAGATCCTATTCGAAATGATTTCTACATTATAAAATAAAAGATTCTTACACAACTTCGAGTCCATAGAAACTATTGTTTGGAAACGAGAGTTTTTCATTGTTAACGCCCTCGCAATCCCTTTTGGAGTTGGAATTTGATAAAATCCATTCTTAGCTGAATTTAATATATTACACGAACATTTTTACTAAATTTGGAGTCAGTAGAAGTTACAATTTGGAAATTAAAATTTAACATTCTAAAATCCACTTTCAAATCCTTATTATAATAAGGGTGGGTTGTCGTAAAATCTACTTTTAGTGATCATTTCTGCATCATATATAGAAGATTCCTACCAATTTGGGAGCATATAGGAGTTATAGTTAAAAAACGGGAATTTTTCATTGTTAACGCCCCCGTAATCCTCTTAGCGGGAGAAATTTCGTAAAATCCGTTCTTAGCTAACCTCTACATGGCAAAAGTAATATTCCTATCAAATTTTAAGTTTTTTAGGCTTATGGTTTCCGAGATTTCGTGATGAGTGACTACATAGTGATGATGATCTGTACCAACTTTGCCACTTCTACGCCCATGTACCGATTGATGGAATCATTCAATCATTTCTACAACCCGAATAACAGTCTAGAGCCATATTCTATTGGTAATATTCACTCTCTCTCCAGATTACTAAGTCAGGTGCCTGTGTGACTCTTACATTCATGTTACCACTTTATATGGATTATTATTATCTTTTTATTTTTTGTTTTACTATTGTATACTATTTACTATGTACATTTATATTTTGTAAGGAACCCTGTTATTGGCTATGCTGTTGGGTTTATTGTCTGATAAATAAATAAATATAGATTGAAATCTCCTTTAATCGGAGCCTGTAGGTGAATGCGTGGAAGGGTGTAGGTGGAGGCGCAGGAAGGTGTGAGTGAGACTTTAGCTGAATGTAAGGAAAAGATTTAATATAATCCCTTCGGTATATCACAAGATACTGACTTAATTACTATAAACAAATGTCTGTGAACAGCGGCTACGCATCTAGTACATTCGGGAACGTTCTCGAATCTACTTTATACTATAGCGCTCGGGACCTTGCCCCTCAACAATAATGATTTAAGCACGGCAACAGTACAGGTAAATATTCCAATAAAAAAAAAACACAAAATAAAATTTGTGAAGCTAAAATACCAATTGTACAAAATGTTCAAGATTCGAGTTGTGATCCAATAAATATAGATCTCAGTAAATCTTGTCATGGTTTTCATGGACTCTTTTCAATTACTACCGACGAGGCAATGAGCAGTTTAACGGGTGTGACATTAGCAATTTTTTCATGGCTTTTAACTATGTTGCCAGACTGTAAAGCCTCGAAAGTAGACAAAAAAACAAGTTTCTTGATAAGATTAGTCAAATTGAAAACGGGTATATCATCTACTGCATTGGCAGTACTTTTCAACATTCATCGAACTTCTGTACATAGGATATTTGTGAAACACATACAGCAGCTAAATATTTTGCTACAGAGTTTTATTGTTTGGCCATCAAAATCAACAATACGTGCATCTTTATCAGAATTTTTTAAGCGGCATTATCTAGAAACGATAATTGATTGTACTGAAGTTTACATCGAAGTACCACCAGAAGTTAATCAAAAAGTATTAATGTATTCTGAATATAAACATCATCATACTGTCAAGTTTAGGGTAGGTTGAGCGCTAGATGGATTTATAACTTATGTCTCTAAATGTTATGGTGGCCGTGCTGGTGATTGCTTCATTACAAACGATTGTGGTTTGGTTGATTTAATTGAGCCCGGTGACGTTATTCTTGCTGACAAAGGATTTTTTCAGATTAAAACTCAAGTCGAAAATAAAAATCCTATTTTCATCATGCCTCCTTTTGGCCAAAAACATCAACTCACCCCTGAAGAATTTGATGTAACATACAACATTGCTTCTGTGAGGATACATATACACGGAAAAAAATTAACTGTTGCTGCAACAGGAAAAAATCCTGTTATAGCAACAGGATTTTCCTGTAGCTGCAACAGGAGGCAGCCATGTTTCAGCAACAGGATAAAGTCCTGTTGGAGCAACAGGATTACTACTGTTGTTGTGACTTAATAGTAAAATATAGTTGGGTCATTCCATGTCAAATTGACCTACAGTTGGAATTGACCCCTTTTGATTTAGATAAATTTTGGTCAGAAATTTTCTTTCATCATACAACGAACTTCTGCCAGAGAAAAAAAAATTAAAAAATTTTATTCAAAAGATATGCAAATTCAAAATTTCGCTATTTTTTCACTTTTTCAATTATGTTTTTGGAATATCTCGTACGCTATTATAGATACAGGAATGGCATTTCGTTCGTTTGAAAAGGGACACTTGGGGCTATTGAAAAAAAAATATTTTGGAAACAAATTTTGAAAAATGCAAAATTTGTCAAATTTTCAATTTTTGAAAATCGTCAAAAATGTCGATTGACATTAAAATTTTAGCTCAATTTTTTTTTGTGTAGTACCTTGTACTGATCTTAAAAGACTGAAATTTTTAGAACTGTGTGTTTTTTTTAAATATGAATTTTTGAATTTCAAAAAAAATTTTTTTCTTGTTTTTTGCAACTTTTAAATAAGGTAAAGTTATGTAAATACATAGTATTGTAATTTTGAGCATTAAAAAATTAAATGCACGACGTGGAAATATTAAATAATAAAATAATTTTAACTTTTTTTTATTTTTTTGAAGTAATCTTAAAGTCAGGCTTAAAGTCAATCTTAAAGTCAATCTTAAAGTCAGAAATAACAACTACTGTATAATTTTTTAAATATTGTTAAATTTGTGCTTATCTTTGATAATTAATCTGTTAATTTATAATTAACTATTTTTAAGATCAATTTAGTATCACATTTGGTCGATTGCCAAATTATTCTTAGGTCATTTTATTATTTATATCTAAAAAGTAATCTACTTATTATGATATCCATAAATGTATTGTTACTCAGTAGCTACTCTAGAGTATTCGGCGTATAATTTTTGAACGTATTGGGTAAAATAAAACTACTCTAGATGAAGTATTAAGTTAATCAACAATTGATTATCACGTAAGTAACACACTACCTTTTGGTGAGTACACGTACAAATCAAAAAACTTAATATTAGTCACATACATCTGAAGCTGGACTTAAATGACATCGACTTTCAGGTATGGAACATTTGACTGGCTTAAATCAGCATCCCAAATAGGAATATTGCGGCAAGTATTTGGACATATAATTTCTATAAGTCACTTTTGCCATACTTCATTCCCATAAAGAGAATTGCATCCGAAGAATAGCTTAGCCACGGTTGTTGCAGAATAATTATTACACCAACTTTAACACTCCCATTTTGGATCAACTAATTGTTTATACTATTTTAGTGCTAAATCCTCATTGTTTTTTCCGTATGTCATTGCTGCATTTTTAGTTAATTTTGAGTATAACATATCTGTCATAACTTTTTCAACATTCAAACGTTGACCTTTCAACCTGTATCCATTACTAGCAGTTATTCGCAGTGCTCGTTGTGCAAATTATTCGCTGCTATTGGCTTGTTGAATGGTTAAAAGACTTAAATTTAATGCTTTCCTAGCATCACAGCATACCTTTTTCTGATAAAATGTGTGAATTTCCTTGGTAACTATAACTTCCTGACTAAAATATTACATTCAGATTTTGCAATGTAAACATATCATTTACTATTTTTATTGTCTTCTTTTTGGGGACTTTTTTAGCCTTAGTTTGTATCATTTGTAACATTGATCCTGCTGGTGTTTGATACAATATCTTCTGTCTCTTCAAGCTTCAAGATTTTTCGAAGCTGTGTATTTTTCAAAGATTTAAGCATACTTGCTACTGTAAGTTTGGTAGCTTTCAATTTAGTCATTTCAGCAGACAAAACTTGGGGAGGAAATAATTTAGACATCCTTTCACCTCTGTCGTACCCTAGTAATTGCTTTTCAGTAGGTTTACCCCATTGCTAAGAATGACTCGTTTTCGATGATGATGTTTCGGGAGAATTAACGCATATATATATGGGTGTGCCAAAATGTAACTTCCGTGAAGAACCTTTTAAAATTGGAATTTTAAAAGTGGAGTTCCACTTTTAACAGCAGCTGTGTTTGGGCATTTCTTGAGATATTTCGGGGTGAGAGGATTGATTTGATTATTTATAGGATTTTTAACAGGAGATTTAATTGGGCACTTCCGGCCAAATTTTGAATTTTCACCGGAAATGCCCAAACCAAGCTTCTGTTAAAAAATTCTATGAAAATCGAATACATCGTCTCACACCAAAATATCTCAGGAAATGCCCAAGCGCAGCCCCTGTTAAAAGCGGAACTCAAAATTCCAATTTTAGAAGGTTCTCCACGGGAGTTACATTTTGGCACACCCTAATATATATATGCTTACATTTATTGTTTAAATTGTTCCAATTAAACTTAAACTGGAACTAAATGTTAATCCAAATTTGTAATTTCATTTATGATTGTAATGGTAAATATAAGTAAGCTAGATACAAACTATTTTACACCTCTTGCGACCGAGAATAGACAGTGTATTAAAGATTAATTTTATAAAAACACTTAAAATAAATAAATATATGCTTACACTTGCCCCTAAAACCAGCTTTACAGGTGCAAACAGCGTTAATAACGTGTCAGTTTGTATCAACCTCAAAATAATAATTCTATAATTATTCTTATAAATATATTTATAAATAAAAAAGTTTCCCAGTTTTCTAATTTAAGTGCCTACCGCACGGTCTCTCAAGCAGCTGTACCTTCTCGATCTCCTAGAATCCGAAAGGGCAAAACTCTACGACCTTAAAACAAAAGGCGACAACTCTAACGAGGCTAGAGCCAGATTGAAGGCGGGAACGCTCAAACAATGGGAAGATAGATGGAAGACGTGCGATACGGATAGATGGAGAGTTCGTCTGATCCCTAATATCGGAACCTGGCTTAGCCGAAACCACGATGAGATGGATTTTTTTCTAACCCAGTTGCTGAAGGGTCGCGGCTCTTTCAACAAGTACCTACATAAATTGGGCCTGCACCATGCTCCAATGTGAAAATACTGCCCGGACAAAGCTGATGACGCTGAGCTCACGTTTTTCGAGTGCGAACGTTGGAAAAATCTCAGAGCAAACACCGAAGCAATTATAGGCAAAGCGCTCAAGCCTGAGAGCCTAGTGAACCACATGATACGGAGAGGAAGAAGACTGAAATAAAATTTCAGAGAGGAATCAGTAGAACAGGAGCAGATGCCATTAGACATAGCACGCACTGGATTGAAGTAATGCTAACGCGGTCCCAATCCAGTTTTCCCTGCACGAAGTGTGGAAAGTAAGGAGAGGAGGGGGGGGGGGAGGACAAATAACATTAATATTCAGTATACATATGCGCAATATACTTAATGTTAGTGGGAGTTATTATGGTTAATTTTTGATGAAAAATGCAGTAATGACAAATCGATGATTTATGACTTAATACTATATTTTTTACCGCCAGAAATTCGCGTGATGAAATATAGTTAATGTAATTCGTTCTAAACTTAATTATGCAAGCACTAGGAAACGTCTAGAACCAAATTATAGAACTATAAGTCTATATGATTATATTCATCGGTTATGCTCTTCACCTATTAGGTATTGCTGTTAATGTCTATAGTCAATCATCTGCATAATATAATTAGATAATGTAATATGTAGACGTTTATAAGTTTAAGGGAAAGAATACTTTCAACTCAAAAAAATTTCCATAGAACCACTGTTAGTTTTAGTCCAGATATCCTTATATTTAAAATAATATATAAACACATGCGAGAGGTTTATTACTTCGTTTAAATATTGAACTGCCTATAGCTCCCATTTATATAACTCTACACGCATATCTAAATGTTATAAACTTTTTATACTAACCCTCAATCGCTAACGCTAGTTCATCATTCCAAAGACATAATAATATGTCGGTGAAAACGGTATTGACAACGACCACTTACTTGGACTCAATAAAGTTTGACATCACCTCGACATACTTTGCTCATAATATTATATTCTTCAAATAGAATCAATTTTAGCTAATTAATTATAGATTACCCATTGAAATAACATTAATTAATTGTTAAGTATTGTAATAGTATGACAATGCTGATAACAATATGGATTACAATTGCAATCGTCAATTTTATATATGACAATTACTAATTTCGTAACTAATCATAACAACCGAGTAATGCTGATATTAAAGTCATTTCTAGTAATCAATACCATACTAAGTGTACTTATTTTATGGGCAAAAGAGGATGCTGATTTTGTTTTGACTCGTGATTGGTTTACCGCGGATTGTGATGCAACGCACAAGTTTAAATTTATATCTTGCGCCAAAATACAAAATCAAGTAAATTGAGGATTGTGTTGTATTGGTTAACTAACTTTACTTGATGTGTATATGACATATACAACAATAAGTCTAACAATAAGACTTACACCAAAAAGAAAGACGAGGTTTACTGTTACCACGTTTTATAGAACATGCGAAAACTCGTTAAGAAATATTACAAAGTATCAAGTTATCACTAATCTTAGACTCTAGATGCTAATAATTGTCGCTTTTTATACAGTTTTTCGAGAGGGTGGGCCTTTTTGTGTTTGATTCGGAATTAGAATAGATTTTCAGGAGTAAGAAAATTATGTGACAAAAAAGTAGAGTGATTTGGTGGATTACAGGGCGGAGTATTTAGCAAACATAGGATTGCAGCATTAGGTATAGCGGGAGAATGAGGCTCTAGATTCTTGGCCAGGTCACTAAAGCAATTCAAATATCCCATACCTGTCTAGGCAGATAATTAAATGTCTCAACCTATAGATTAAGTTATTTGTAGCACAACAATAGAAAATAAGTAGGCCCAAACCATTTGCAAACTAAGTACTAATATTACAATAATGAAATCGTCTTATCCGAATAAATTTTACATTTATAATATTTTAAAAGATATCAACCATGCAGAAAAGTGTTGAAGTATTTATTGCTAATTTCGATGTTGACAGATTAAAAAAGCTATAAACCCTTTTATCAATGTTATATTTCTTTGTACTCCGCATGAAAATCGAGGACATTCAGTCTAAGGAAATCAGCCAGCGTTGCCTGAAATAACGTAGGGTCTCCTTTTCGTATCTAATCTAAAAATTGTGAATTGAGTGTGTCACACCCCGTAGGGCCAAAAGTTATTAAACATTAAAAACCCGAATTTGTGGTGTTACATCAATTTTATTAATAAGTTCCCGAATATCTTCTCTGTTATCAAACCTTTTGGCCACAAGAGGACGAAGAGAAACCTGAAATCAGCCAATCGCCATTAGGGATCGTTTTGATAATTCATTAAATTGTAAATTCAGTTTATTTTTCCGAAATTCTCTTTCACTTCGTTGCCGAGAAACCTCGGGTACCGGGTAACGTTCGAGAATCCACATAAAAATAAAACTCTTACAGCTCCCCTGCAAAAGAAAATCTATCTAAAATTCTCCAAGCCTCCTCCTAGTCCGCTTGCCCATTAATTATTTAATTAATAATTTAATTCGGACATAACACACGGGTAAATGCCTATAATATTGGCTGCGGACAAGGGAATGAATTAGATTAGAATTTTGGTTAAACGATTTGAGAGGCCTATGTGATCAAACACGAGATTCAGAACGTTCACACGGCGGAGTGAATTGCCATATACGATTCTGCGTAAAAATGACCGGGCATGAACAGGTCTGATCAACTCTGACTAGGCTAGGTCTATAAAAAAGCGAAAATCTCGGGCCGAGTAGGATTTGAAAATGCCAGTTCATGTGTGATCAGACATGGACATGCATGTTCGGGTCTAAAGTATATAACGCCTCAGACATGACCAGGCATGATCATATCTGACATCAAGCATGAACAGACATGAGCGGGCATGGCCAGGCCTGAATGTATTTTACTTATCAGGCACGACCATTTCTAATTTCAGGTCTGATCATACATGAACAGGCATGGTCATGTCAGAACATTTTTTCCCGGGAATTACTGCATAGGTTGAGCATTGTAGTATCCACGTCACACCGTTTTGACTCCTGACTATTTTTGAGCAAATTCGAATTATCCCAAGATATATCATTTTATACATCCTATAGGATACCCGATTTCATATTCTGGTCCTAGATTACCATGTTGACATTGGAATTTCTCCTACAATTTTATTACCGTGTACTTATAATTTATCATATTTAAAAGATATTCAGAAAGCATACGGGTGAAGGTATTAATTTCGTTTTTTTTCATTTAATTCGAAAAAGGTGTTACTTTGAAATTGTAAAAAAGCGCTTAAAATTTCTTGGAAAAAATAGTTTATATATATTTTTGATTATCGATGTAAATTAAGAAATATACGCATATTTTTATGTACTATGTATGATTATACTAATGATTCTCGCACTGGTTGCTGTAAATTTTGATGATTATTTAACAATCTATTGTACCACGTTCTAAATCTATTTGAAGTATTAACATCATTCAAATTACTGTCCGTATTTGTATTATCATTATCATTACTTATTTCACTGTTACTTTCGTCATTTCTATTCAATGGTCTTTGGATAGTATTTGAATGTATTACATGTGTCCTGTCGCTATCTGACCCATTTTTAATCAGCAATTTGATATCTTTATTTTTTTTATGCCACAGTCTCCATGAATGCAAATGAAATCTAAAACATAAAGAAAACATTATAAAACTAATGGATACACACTGATAGAAAAACTAATTTGACTTAATGTTACTACTATTATCTTGAAGCATGAGCTCTAATTTGATCCAACAGTAAATTTTTTAAATTCAGAAGAGTTGAATATATCGAAAAAAGAATGAAATTTGAAAGAAAATTTTTCTTTAAATCAAATAATTTTTTTATTTTCCGCTAAGAAAATCAATGATTTTCAAAAAATCGGGAAGTAATTGTTTTCACCCCGATTTTTGAAATCGAGATTTCATCAGATCTCGACGTTTCGAAGTCCTCGGATGCTATTCTGGCTATTTTCATACGGGGGAAAAAAAACAGCACTTTTTGTACAATACTTAGTGTTTACTTAGTGTTTACTTAGTGGTGAGTAGCATAAAATAAAAAAAATTTGCTATTTTCTATCAATTTGTAATATTCTCACAAATTTGATGTATATACATTAGAAATTAACTTTCTTTGTTGCTGTAAGATGGACAGCGGTGATTTCGGTCGAACTCACTTCCCCCCTCCTCGACGCTGTGGTAGTAGCCCTGGACGGGGTGGTTGTGGTGAGTAGCATAAAATAAAAAATTTGCTATTTTCTATCAATTTGTAATATTTTCACAAATTTGATGTATATACATTAGAAATTAACTTTGCTTCACTGATAGAAAATTTATGTTGATGTTTTTCAATCAAAATAACATTATCGTTTAAAAAACTTAAAATAATTCATCAAAGTATATTTCAAAAATTGAATAGTCTTTAATTTTTATACAAAAAAAAAATTATTTCTTGAAAATAAGTAAATTAATTAATGACTCAAAAAAAAGCCATTCTTAACACAAGTCGGTAATATCTTGAATCAATGTTATCGCCTATCTGGAATCAAGAGACAAAAATTCTTGAAAGAAACATATCTATATCTAGTTTCAAGAGTTCAAGTTTTGAAGAAAAAAAGTTTCTTGAATCAAGATTGTTTTTCTATCAGTGTATGTATGAGTTCAAAACACTCGATAAATTATCTATTCTGAAGTTTTGAGTTCTTTGACCTCAAAAACACTACTTTTATACTTTTTCGAGCTCTATAACAATTTTTCATTGCGATATCTTTCGATTGAATCAATCGTTTTTGATGGGGCTTGCAGTCCAAAGCTTGACTTTTTGAAAATCATTGATTTTGATTGCGAGAAGTTGAAAATTATTGGATGATGGATGTTTCTAATATTATTAAAATTCATTACCTACAAATTCTAACTATACATTTACTGGTTCGAATCATTGTAGTTGAGAAGTTAGAATATTTAAATCACAAAAAAGTAAATGAATAATAAATGTGAACAAAACTTGGAAAGGATCAATCAAAATAAGTCAAATTCATGTCGATATTTTTTACATGGATCAATAAGAAAAATTTTGATAATCGAAGAAGGGTATAAAAATTAATAAATTATATGTATATCAAAAATTATAATGTAAATAAATCGGCTACATTTATAATTGACGATTTAATATTATTATTTTTGTAATAATTTCTGAAATTCGTAGTTTTCATTCAAAATCGTTCTATCGAGTAGGTAAAATAATTAAATTTATACATGAGAAAAATAAATTCTTCGTGTAGAATCAATTTATCTTGACCCAAAAAAATATTTAGGAAATCAAAAATTATCTTGATTGAAATACAATTTTTTTGAGTCATGAAAATTTTCTTTTCTCAAGAAAGAATCTTACTCCGCTACAAATTAGTATTTTCTGAAAATTTCCTTAGTTTAAATAAACCTTTTTAAAGTAATATAAAAAAATCTGCTTACCTTATTGTAACAGCCAGCCAAATACAATAAATAAGAATCAATATAATTGATAAAGTTAATATTATAGTGCTTTCCCAAGTTTTAAGTTGTGTAAAGTAAACAATTCCAATATAGCACAGATATATTCCAGACATGAATAAAAATGTCAGAACAAGCACGCATATTGAGTCGACTATCAATCCTCTGGAGTTACTTTTTATGTTTACCCATTGTTTGAGTGACTGTGTTTCAAAATAAAAATATAATGATTGTATAAAATATTAAAATATATAAACTAATACGGATTTTTGTGAAAAAGATCTTAAGGAGTTTAATTCCATATGTTAAGATTCGACAGAAATATGTTCAAAAACAGGTTCAAAAAATTCGACATGAGAAAAATTTAAACTTACCACCATAACTGGCTTGTTCAATGTTTGAAGAGGAAACCTATATTTACATATTTCACACGATCGAGTATTTGACGTGGTAAGCCATTTTTCCAAACAACTGATATGCATAAGTGCCACTGTTCCCGAACATTCACATGGTTCTACCAATTGCTCCAAACTTTCATCTAATTAAAAAAAAAAAAAAAAAAAAAAAAAAAAAAATTACATTGATAGTTACACAATTTATCCATTACAATTAATACCAATTCTATATACCATCATGGCAAATCCGACAGGTGTTCACATCAAGACTCTGTTGGCTACTTAACATTCTTTAATGTTTAAATTATTATGCCCGAAATTTAGTGAAATAAGTTTTATTTTCTAAATATTGTATTGATGTTCTTTGATTTAAGATTTTGTTAAGGACAAGCTTGTAATGTACGCTTACAACTCAGTTGCACTCAGATATTTATTCAAAAATAGATTTATTTATATTAAATAAGCTGATGATTTTTGGTCAATTCCAAATTAAACTGCGTAATCGTTAACAATAAACTGAATTAAAATACTAATAATGTGTATAGTGTACGAGAAGTAATGACACTCAATTTCATGATAAAACTGGGTATGTGGAACAATTCAACAAAATTTTTACTTGGTTTTGATTTGACGTTACATTAATTAATAGGTGTTCAGCTAACGACTTAGTGATAAAATAGAGTTTTTAGAATTGATTACCTTGAAATAATTTTAACCGTTTTAGTTGTCTCAGTCTAGTTCGATAATGAAACTTATAATTATTATTTTATTTTTTTCTATGTAACATTGAAGATTAAGGTACTGTTACAGTTCTGTTTAATTTATATATATGTATTATCCGGATGAGTAATTAAATTTTCATTTAATACCGATATAAATTTAATAGTTTTTAATCAATATAATTTATAAAAAATTGTATATACATTGAAAACATGCCCGTAAAAAACAGTTTTCGATAATGTTTCCGTGAATGGAGCGACTTATATATAGTTTATAACATGTTTGAAATTGTCTATTATCAGAAAATAAGTTTTGATGAAAGTTATTCAACTATAAATTTAATAAATGTTTTGTTTAAACATTTGCCAATAGTTTAAAAAAGATTTATAGTAAAAGTGGGAAAATAATATGACAGTGTAAAAAATTTAATCGTGTTAAGGAATTATATTCCCATGCTGATATGAAAATTCGGTAAAATAATTAATTAATTATGGGCAAGTCTATACATTTCTTAAGTCGCGTAAATAATATTTGAAGAAATGGCTGATTAGATTTGGGTATTTGATAGTTTAATAATTGAAGAAATGTTTTTAAAAATCTGAAAAACAGTTAAAGCTGCAAGCGATTTCTGGAATTTCCGCTCTTTCCAAGCTCAAAATTTACCCATTACGAAATAATGGCAGATTTATAAGTAATCAGTACAGAAGTTTAGATTTTATATTTTAAAAAAGAAAAACATTTTTTTGAAAATTTTAGTTTTAAGATTTTTCAAAGTTACCGAGTCGAATTAGTTCAAATTTACATGAAATCTACGGGCAATAAAATCTTTTGGAATTCCGAAGATTAAATAGATACATGCATCCATCAGAAAACAATCGTGAGGGTAGTAAAATACACAGAAAAATATATATAAAACATGCTCAAATTTATTTATTTATTTATCTAACGCCGATTGGCGGTGTACATCAATATATAATTTTTAATATATTTAATTTTCTAATATTAAGTGTGAGGAAAGATATAGGTTAATATGTTTACAATCAATATCTAACATTAAATTATTAGTATGATAATAATTTTCTTTTGATTATGGAGTTAAAGGAATGAAGAGATTCACTAAAAAAGTTGAGGTCATTGTGAAAGGAGTTAACCAAGTTGGAAATCCTGTTTTTGGATCTGTTGATCACATAATTTTTGCTTGAATTTGGTATTTTTCATATGTAGTTGTGTCTAAGATTCGGTCTGTTCTCGATGAATTCTAAACTTTTATAATATACATCAGCCACTTGAATCAACCTGTTCTAAATTTTGAAGAAGAAAGTCATGTCTGCGTTCAGCAAATCTGTTGATCTTACAACGTTTGCGTATGTCCTCTGTGGTAATGGTTGAGCCGATTATCGCAGTGAAGTACACGGAAAGATTGGATTAGATCATTTTTAAAAATTCTATTTCACACTGGAAAAAAGTTTTATCCTCTGCACGATAATATATTGCTACTGTCACGATCCACGATTTCCTGCGAATTTGAACCGATTCGGATCGATAAATTTCGAGAAATCTAAATAAAACTAAGAAAAAAAATTTTTATAATGTGGGTTTTTTGGCATATAACTTTTAAACGGCTTTATCGATCAACGAAAAACTACTCAACTCTTAACCATAAAAAACCAAGTCGATCGCCGCCAATCCGGTCAAAATCGATTAATTCGTTCAAGAGATATCGTAAACGAAAAATTCCAAAAAAGTGTTTTAAATAATTAAATCATTATTAGAGCCTAAAAAACCAGGTTGATCGCCGCCAAGAACGTGAAAATCGGTTGATTGGTTCGAGAGATATCGTTGACGAAAAATTTGGAAACAAGTGTTTTTTTTTAATATAACTATACGAACTCAAAAAACCACGATGATCTTATCCACGAACGCCGAAACCGGTTGATTGGTTCGTAAGTTATCGTTGTCGAACAAATTCGAAGAAAATGAATTTTTCAAATTTCTCCAAAATTGTCGGGTTGATCAATTTGTGTTTAAAAGTAAATCATAGGATTAAAAAAACTGCGTCGAATGCTGCCAACCGCACGAAAATTGGTTTATTCATTCAAAAGTAATTGCAATCTGAAAATTTTAAGAATAGTGTTTTATTAAACTTCTATCAGGCTTTTGAGCTCGAAAAGCTCAAAAACATAGAACAGCTAACTCTTTGAGCTCGGAAAGCTCGAAATAACACATAAATTGTATTTTTGAGCTCGAAGAGCTCAAAAACGTCATAAGTGCAATCTTAAGCACTTAGGTATTGAATTAGCGAGAAGTTGCAGGGATGGCCTTCAAGGTCAACCGTTTTCCTAATTTTTTTTCAGTGTAAGGTTATGGTAAATAGTTTTCTCAGCGCTTAATTCTCTATTTCAAAGTAAAATGATTATTCGAGTGCAACATACGAATTATTCATGTGCGGCACTTAACTTGTTACTACAGCACCAGACTGATTACTCTTTAGAAGCTGACTGTCATGTGTGCACATTTCTCAGTCGTGTGTTAACTAAATTTTCGTTGATTTTTTTCTAGCACCGTACTGAGTCAGGTGCAGAACAGTAACCAGTCGGATTTTAATCTTTTCGTGTAGGCTAAGGTTTTGTAGAACTTATTCTGGACTTTCTCTATTTTGTTGATAATGACCCAATTCTTGTAAATTTTTAATGTTTCCAATAGTAATTCGGACTTCGAGGTGGCATCACAACTTTTTTGACATTTATAGCTGTTATTACTGTGTGAATTAGTATTTTTTTCTATATAATTATTGAATTCTATCATTCGAATAATAAATATCACAAATTGATTATTAAAATCAAGATTTTATTTTTGAAATAGTATTTACTATCCATTGATTATAATTTATTATAGTTAATGTAGCTTCTGCGGTCCTCAAAACGTCGATATCTTACGAGAACTCGATTTTCGAACATCGGATTGGAACCAGTAACTTTCCAATTTATGAAAATGATTGATTTTCATAGCGGGAAGTAAAAAAAAAAAAAAAAAACAAATTAAAATTCTCTAAATTTACACTACTGATTTAGTTCGAATTTTCCCGAAATCATTGAGGTTGTCCGTTCTTAGATAGTAATGCATGTTTTTTTTTTCTCATTTCTTAGAAGTTACTCATTTTAAAAAGATTGCACTAGTGTCAAAATCTAATCAGCTCTATTCCTCGAAAACCAGTGTCACATGCCACATTTTTCGTTCAAATCGGTTTACTCGTTTTCAAGATATCGATGATATAGATATTTCTGATGATGCATTTTTTTATTATCTCATAATAAATTTCGAAACCAAATAAATGACTGTGAAAATCAACACCAAAATTTATTTCAAGATTTACTTATTCCAACTTTAAAAAGCCGAAAACTTGATTTTCAGGTCAAAGTTAGAGCTTTTGTTTTCGTACGTTCCAATAGTAAGAAGTTTCAGACATAGCTTGTAATAAGGTAAACTGTTGTGCAGAAATACTTAAAAATTGAAGACAGTATACAGTTTTTAACAAATACTTTTGTTACAAAAAAATGTTTTGTATAATTATTTGAATAAGCACTAGTGAGTTACAGATTTGAATTTATCAAACTTTTGTATTCATTATTACAATTGAGATCTATTAGTGTCTCTCTTATATTAACGCGAGTCTAGTTAAAAAAAAAAAAAAAAAAGAAAACAAATAGGACTCATAATGAGACTTGACTTTATTGAAGTAATAAATTGCATAAATATAACAACAGCCTTAGGATGCCTTGAATCAGCTTATTTATTCATTTGCTTCGGTGTATTGGTACTTACGCCATCTGTTGGAAAATTATTAAAATTATCTTAAGTGTGTTTTGTTATTCGAGTTACAGCAGTTGACGATATTTGATTTGTCTTTATCTCGATATGATAACAAGATCATTTTTGACGTACGATGATATCAAAAACCTATAAAAAATTCACGTGAAATTTGAGATTTACCTTTCAGATTTTGTAAGTTTTATTAATAACAAGTAATGACCTTAATTTAATATCAAATAGGGCTGTAATTTCATCTCAACTTAAAATGAACTATATTCGGGTATAATCGGGATAGCAAAAGAATGTACTTCGGTATTTTCCGTGATCACGTTCTCTCGTTCGGTATTAAGTAGTCAATAGTAAAACGTTTTCGGATCCGATGCTAATGTTTTTGGGATCTCTTACGTATGAGTATAAATATTTATTTGAGTTTATTACAGATATATAGATATATTTACTGACGAACTATATACAACCCAACCAAGTTGTATTGGTTAATTCAGTTGTCGTCGATCTATACAACTAAAAAAAATAGTTGTCAAAATGATTATCTTATTTTTTATAAAATTATAATCGATAACAATATATAGTGCACAATTACTTAATGTGTTCAATCAATTATGGATCAGTATTACGACACTAATAAGCAATAATAAATCCAACTTTTTGTTTTCCATCGAAAGAAAAGTGCCAAAATAGCAGTAACTGAGGATCTTACAAAACAGTCAGGCAAGTAATCGTTTTTAATAACCTAATAACAATTTCAATCTTTTAATTATTTTAATTAAACATATGAAAGTTTCGCCAAAGCTAAGTAGAATTTTTTTTTATTTTATAAATTTTATAATAATTACAAATACTATTAATTCGTTAAATGTTTTCAAGTTCTAATTTGACTATTTTTTATATAAACTAATTAATTTATTATTTTTTTTCCTACAGGATTGAATAAAAAGAGAGTTGGTGTTTATTACAAGTAACCTGATCAAAGTGGAAACAAAAACAATAAGACCGACTTGCTCGGTCTTGGTGAATGGTGTTGCAGATTGACTCAGTGTGGGGTTGGGCGTCACCCCCGTTGCGCCTACAACTAGCTGGAGGTAGCCGAGGGGCCTCGGGAAACGTGGCTGCCCAAGCATCCTCTCAGAGGATGGGTGAAATGGTCGTTGAACGAGCTCCATCGCCGGCACGCCTCAGTCATACTTCCGAGAAGCATCCTCGTGCTACCTTAACAGAATTGAATGTATTGAGACGGCATCGAGAACTCTGCGATGTTGTACTGAATGTTGGTACCAGGAAGATATTTGCTCATCGAGTTATTTTGTCAGCATGTAGTCCTTATTTTAGGTAATGATAATATTTTTTTTTTATTATATACTACTCTGAAAAAACAAAAAAATTAAAAATGATTTATCATATCCTGAATGAGGTAGTATTAGAAAAAAAAGATAGAGTACACGGAAAGAACAAGATGACACTGGATATCATCCCATATTATACTGAGTGAAAAAAAAATTCAGATAATAGCTAGTATAATCCAGATTACAATGAGTATAATCCAGATATTACCCAGCATAATCTGGATTTTGCTAGCTACTATCTGAAAATTTTTTTCACCTTAGATAAAAAATTCAGATAATAGCTAGTATAATCCAGATTACAATGAGTATAATCCAGATATTACCCAGCATAATCTGGATTTTGCTAGCTACTATCTGAAAATTTTTTTCACCTTAGATATCACTGAGTATAATCTGGGATGATATCCAGTGTCATCTTGTTCTTTCCGTGTATCAGAGAATATTTAAAAAATTAGGAATCGAATTCTTTTAAATATTTTTTGAACCTTTTGTTTAATCAAGCTTAAGAACGGGTCCAGTCTTTTTCTCTCCTTACACTCATCGAGAGAAACCGTACTATTTGTCACACTCGCAAAACTATTGCAGATTAATGAATTTTTCTTGAACAAGTGAAAATTTCGTAAAAAAAATGCTCTGATAGAAAATCGATAATTAAATAATCTATCGAGTAGCAGGGTTTTTGATACAATTTTTCTTTGTTTAGAAGAAACTCATGAAGCTGCAATAGCTGGGACCAGTTCCTAAGCTTAACTAAATAATGTAATTAATTAATAAACCAAACAATTTGAATGTTATAATTACTAACGTTATAGTCAACATTTTTTTTCAAAATTTTTTCGATAGCAAATTTGAGTTCAGAAATGTTTATTTATTTATTTATTTATTTAACTAACTATAGTTGATATAGTTGAAAAATAATACATTGTGAGTATATAAAATGAAAATTACAAGATGATATAATTTTAAAGTTATCCTGGAAATTAATCATAAAATATAAAATAAATATTGACTCTCTGAACTTGAATGTTTTTTTTTTTTTTTTTTTTTCAAAAAACAAATCATATTACAAAGAGTTAAATTTTGCCAAAGTCCTGAGTACAACAGTGTCATACGGCAGCTGATTCTAGATTCTCATAGCAGTTAATAAGAACAAAATCTAAGTTGAATGAGAATACATCTCTAAAAAATTTTGTTTAAAACGTTATAGCTGAAAACTGTGCTGTTACAATCATTATTATTAGAAATACGTAGTTAAGAATTTTTTTTTAATATAAATTTTCTTTCAATAAACTTTTTCCAGAGCAATGTTTACTGGAGAATTGGCAGAGTCACGGCAAACAGAAGTCACAATAAGAGACATTGATGAAGTTGCTATGGAGCTTCTGATTGATTTTTGTTATACATCTCACATAATTGTTGAAGAAGCTAACGTTCAAACACTGCTTCCAGCTGCTTGTCTTCTACAACTCGCTGAAATTCAAGATATTTGTTGTGAATTTTTAAAACGACAGCTGGATCCATCAAATTGTTTAGGAATCCGAGCATTCGCTGATACTCATTCATGTCGCGAATTATTGAGGATCGCTGATAAATTCACTCAACATAATTTTCAAGAAGTTATGGAGAGTGAAGAATTTCTTCTTTTACCAGTTAGTCAGTTGGTAGATATCGTATCCTCTGATGAATTAAATGTGAGGACAGAAGAACAAGTTTTTAGCGCTGTGATGAATTGGGTTAAGTACAATGTAACTGAAAGACGGCAGCATTTAGCTCAAGTACTTCAACACGTAAGATTACCGCTACTAAGCCCGAAATTCTTAGTGGGTACTGTAGGATCTGACTTGCTCGTCCGGTCAGATGATGCGTGTCGAGATCTTGTAGATGAGGCTAAAAACTATCTTTTACTTCCTCAAGAGCGACCATTAATGCAGGGTCCAAGAACACGTCCTCGGAAACCAACAAGGAGAGGTGAAGTTTTATTTGCTGTAGGTGGTTGGTGCTCTGGTGATGCAATAGCTTCAGTTGAGCGTTTTGATCCAAATACTGCTGATTGGAAAATGGTAGCACCGATGAGTAAAAGAAGATGCGGTGTTGGTGTTGCTGTTTTAAATGATTTACTTTATGCGGTTGGTGGACATGACGGTCAAAGTTATTTAAACAGTATAGAAAGATATGATCCTCAAACGAATCAATGGTCGTGTGACGTTGCACCAACAACCTCATGTAGAACTAGTGTTGGTGTAGCAGTTCTTGATGGGTTTCTTTATGCCGTTGGGGGTCAAGATGGTGTACAATGCTTGAATCATGTTGAAAGGTATGATCCCAAGGAAAATAAATGGTTTAAAGTATCACCTATGACAACCCGTCGGCTTGGAGTGGCTGTTGCTGTACTTGGTGGATATCTCTATGCTATTGGCGGATCAGACGGACAATCACCATTAAATACTGTGGAAAGGTATGATCCAAGACAAAACAAATGGTCGCAAGTTTCACCAATGTCCACTAGACGAAAACATTTAGGTTGTGCTGTATTTAACAATCTCATTTATGCTGTGGGAGGAAGAGATGATTGCATGGAATTATCAAGTGCTGAACGATATAATCCACATACTAATTCTTGGAGTCCCATCGTCGCTATGACATCTAGAAGAAGTGGAGTAAGATTATCATGCTTAAATATTTTTTCTAAGAAATATTATAGTAATTATATTATACACTACTCACAAAAATTAAGGGAATAAAAAAAAATGCAAATTTTTTTTAGATTTCTGTCGGACTGTATTTCAGCAGAAAATGATCGTATCGCAAGAATAAGAAATGGATTTTAAAGCTCTGAGTCTTTAGTTTTAGATCTTGAGGTCAAAATTTTTTAGGAATTACGGATTTAAATGACCCGAAGAAATAGAGCGAAAAAAAAATTTTCCAAATTTTTGAATTTTTTTTTTTGCTCTACGGACTCGGAAAAATGTTTTCAGACAAAGCGACCTTCAATTTCATTTTTTATTTAGCTTGATACGACCATTTGTTGCGCAGATATCCGAGATAAGACCAAAAAAACTTTTTTTTTAATTTTCGAATTTTTTTTTTGTCATTCTTTTCAATCAAATTTACTGATGAGTCGAGGCAAATTGAGAGCAAAACGAAAAAAAAATCAATTTTTCATTATTCTGAAGATTGCAGCACGATAATGGATAAAATCTTATTCCTTTAATTTTTTCAAAATTTTGAATTCTCGGGGCGGAAAAACTACTCAATGGATCGATCTGAAAATATACAGGGTTTTCAGGGGTACATTGAGGTGTAAAAATTCCTGCAATGTCTAGCTTCCCCGTCGATATTTGTTAAGATACAGTCGATTAACCAAAATAAAGGAAAAAGTCACTTTTTTCAGCTTTCTTTAAAGCGGTATCGTACATCGATAAGATTTTTTTTTCTGGAATTTTTTTATAGAATTTTATTGGGAATTTCTTCCAGTTTCTAAAACTGTCCTTTTTTTGCTGTGCGATTATTGGTTGCAGAGATATTGATGGTTAAAGACATAAACGTCCTTTTTTGTCTAATTTCGGATATCTCCGCAACAAAAGGTCGTATCAAGCTTAATAAAAAATGAAATTGAAGCTGAATAAATAGGCTATCTGTTCCATAAGGTCGTTTCGTCTCTAAAAATTTTTCCGAGCCCGTAGAGCGAAAAAAAAAATTCAAAAATTTGAAAAATTTTTTTTTCGCTCTATTTCTTCGGATCATGTTAAAACCGTAATTCCTAAAAAATTTTGACTAAGATCTGAAAACTAGAGTTTCAGAGCTTTAAAATCCATTTCTTATTTTTGCGATACGATCATTTTCTGCTGAAATACAGCCCGTCAAAAATCTAAAAAAAATTTGCATTTTTTTTTATTTCCTTAATTTTTGTGAGTAGTGTATTAATTATTATTTTTTTTAAAGGTTGGTTTAGCCGTTGTTAATGGTCAACTCTATGCTGTTGGAGGCTTTGATGGTACCGCTTATCTGAAAACTATAGAAGTTTATGATCCTGAACAAAATCAGTGGAGATTGTGTGGTTGTATGAATTATAGAAGACTCGGAGGTGGTGTAGGCGTAATGAGGGCACCACAGACTGAAAATTATATTTGGTAGCTCAGGCCCCCCTCTTCGGCCTCGACGGCTGAAACACCTTTAACTCCTGTGACTCCTTCAACACCATTAACACCGCTTTCAGGACCAGTTATTTCAACTAATAGCAGAAAACGCTATCGGCGCTCTATGAGCATCATTTAAACATATACCTATTTTTTTTTCGCTACGGCTATAATTTATAATTTGTATTTAATATCTTAACAAAAAATTATACATACGTCATTTTTTTTTAATATTTAATAGGGAAGTACTTTTTATTGTTTAATCGATTTGTATCGATATTGTTATTTCATTTTAAATTTATTTATGTCATCCATCCGATTTCAAATCTTAATTCTTTCTTTGAGTTGTTTTTATTTCTTTTCATTTTTAAATATTTCCTTTAAATTATCATAAATCATTGCTATTTGTATATTTCAAAAAATTTAATACACACCGACGTATCTGTGTGTGTGTCAAATTGATCAATCAGGGCTAAGACTGAAAATGCCTAAATCAAATTTTTTTTTCTATCTATTTATTTATTTATATTTCGCATCAACTATATATCTTTTTACTTTATTAAAAAAACATACTATTTTTATTTTTGCGCCAAATAACGTCCTCATTATCGAGATATTTCCCACGGTAAGATAATATTTACTTTAGATGATTTATTTCTATAACTTAAATTTTGTTGATTTCAATAAAAAATAATTAAAATAATTAACTGAATGTAACTTGTTAAATTTTTTTGTACTTTGATTTTAAACCTAAAATCAATTTTAGGTTCGTTTATTTTGTTGACATATCGTTTTATATTGAATACTTCTAAATAGATGAAAATTGTTTTAAATCATGAAGTTACACGGACAAAAAATTTAAAGTTCAAAAAGGTGTATAAAAGTTATAGTGGAAAGAAACTTATTCTGTTTTTATAATTGACAAATGATATATGCCTGCAGTTACGGTTATATTGACATATTATATTAGGATAATCATTAACAAATGATTAATTAAATAATAAATTACTTTTCACAAAATTTACATGTGTTCATTTTCTTAACATATATAAATTGAACTAATTTTTACTGTACAATATCAATATACTGGTTTTTTAATTATTAATAATTTCCATAAAACTAATTTAGTTGAATTCATAAGAATTGATTTGTTGACTTAAGAAAAATGACATAATCATTAGCATCGACAGCTGCTTACACAGTTTTTAGTTCTATGAAAGTATAATTTTTAGTAAATTGGTTGAAAAAAACGTCATTCAAGATGATTTTATCGAAAAACAAAGCTAAATTGCGAAAAAGAGATTTTTTAAGTAAAAAATAAATCTGATTAAATTCTTTCAAGGGGGAACACCACTGTGATGATAAAAAAAAATTAGAAAAACGGTTGACCTTAAAGGCCATCCTGCAACTTCCCGCTCATTTTATACTTAAACGCACAAAACTGCATTTATTACGTTTTTGAGCTTTTCGAGCTCAAAAATCTGCTAGATGTTGAATAAAACACTATTTTTCAAATTTTTAAACCGCAATAACTTTTGAATGAATGAACCGATTTTTACGTCGTTGGTGGCATTCAACGCAGTTTTTAAAGCCTCATACAGAACTTTTAAGTTTTAATTGATCGAACAAAGAATTTCAAAGTAAATCCCAAAAAAACGATTTTTTTGATTTTTTTCGTTAACGATAACTCACGAACGAATTAACCGATTTCGACCGGACTGGCGGCAATCGACATGTTTTTTTATGTTAAGAGCTGATTAGTTTTTGGAATCGATCGGTTAAGCTATTTGAAAGTTATTCCAAAAAAACCACATTTGAAAAAATTTTTTTTTACAGTTTTTTTGAGATTTTTCAAAATCTACTGGTTCGAATCGGTCCAAATTATGGTCAAAATCTAAGTTTAGTCAAGCCCTTTCGAATGGTACCAACCGCGATGAGATCGGTCAAGCCATTCAAAAGTTATGAGAGGTTTACATACGGCCGTGTACACACACACACACACACACACACACACACACACACACACACACACACACACACACACAGCCGCACGGACACCA